TTTGATTTCATTTTTTTTCCAAAATTATATATATATATATATATATATACGTAAATTAAAACGTCCTTCCGAAGCGGGGGACGGGATTTCGATTTCGGCGGCCGACAGTTTCTTACGGGCAACCCCCCAAACTTTCTTTTAAACCTTCTCCTTTTAAGTGCCGACAGATATATATATACATATATATACGCATACGCGCGCGTGCGTGTGTGTGTGCGTGTGTGCGCGCGCGCCTCTTAGCCTGACTCATTGGTTACAGTCTTTGGTGCAACTCCCTCGGGCCGGGGGTTCGATCCCTGCGTAGGATCGAATGACACACCTTTTCTGGAAGGGGGGTCCTCCCCTCGGTCAGACTATGGGGTTGATCGGTGATCAACATTTTAAATATATATATATATATATACACGGAAAATATTTTATTAATATTCTCTTGGATACCATTTTTTATGTATCAGAGATTTTTTTAATTTGTTAATTATCATCTCTAGACTAGGTTGAAATGAGCGAGCTTCTAAGACGCGCCGCTTGAAAAAAGTGGCCCCAAACGGAGCCTAAGACAGCAATCTATTATTAGACAAACCTTGTTCTCACTACCTTGAAATAATGTCTTAACATTTTTTTTTTAACGCAAGTTTCGTAGTGCTCAAATGATAGATTTAGGTATTGTTTTGTAAATAGGTATCGTTGATGTGTATTAATAGATTCATGAAACCATTTTTGAGATAAATGACAGTAAATTCAACCATCAATTAACTAAATGTGTGCTCCAAAAAGCAATGCTTATAATCAGTTTATCAATCTTATTTGGTTATATGTAGGTTTTGGCATATAACTTTTACTAAATATTGTCATTTAACATTTTCCCTTGTTTCAATTTTTTTAGGCATCAAATCTTATATATGTTGACCAACCCACCGGTACTGGATTTAGCTATAGCACGGATGTACGAGATATTCGCTTTGGTGAGAGGGGCATAAGTGATGATTTATATGATTTTTTACAGGTAAGATCTTTTGATTTGTAAATTCATTAGTTTGCTTGGTCAGTTGTGTATTTTCAAGTATCACTTGCCTCCTAACATTGAATAGAACTGCGTTTACTTCAAAGTTTATAATAACTTCTGCTTTATAATCAGCATCATATTTCTAATTGCTGTATATAACTATCATTTAGCTTATTATCTATTTTTCAATGTAATTTTTAAAAGAAGTGAAGTGTCAAAATAGCCTCCTAACTGTTTACATGGGGTCATTTTAATCTCAAAGTCTATAAAAGTGTCAAATTAATCTCCAAACTCTTTAATTTAGGGCTGAAATAGTCCTCCATGGGGACTATTTCAATCCATATTAAGTGCCTTTGGACTAAATTGGCAGTTTTATAGACTCTAGGGCTAAAATAACCGCCTACAAATACCAGTAGACTGTTTTGGCATTTTCCTCTTTTTAAAAGGGAATGGTAGTTTCTGCATTTTCTAATTGATTTTCTAAAATAAATAAATAAACAACAGAAAGGATATTTCCATATATATCATCTCCCTCATGATGCTTACGGTTGCTATTGATTGAAGAAGAGCCATACCACCCGTTGTAATAAGTGCACTTTCATACAACTACAGGATATGATTTCCTTCAAAGACCAATTATCCATCCTAATATCAATAGTTAGATAAGTTCTCATTTTATAGATTTTTTACCTAATATCTCATTATTTTGCTAATGTGCCATAGGCTTTTTTTCAAGAACATTCGGGCTATTTGAAGAATGAGTTATATATTATTGGAGAGTCTTATGCAGGGCATTATATTCCTGCTGCCACTGAGAGAGTTCATAGAGGTAACAGAGAGAAACATGGTCTTCACTTGAATTTAAAGGTAAACTATCAAAATCTGAATTGTGTGATGATTATTTTAAAGAGTCAATCACATACGTTGCATACAATTCTTATGTATTTGCATATCTCACACCTACACTTTCATATTAACACACATAGCACTCAAATCTTTATGATCACATAAAAACCACTATTACCACCTTTTAAAAGTGAAACACACAATTTCACATGTAGGTTTAAAACACCAAAGTGTTATGTATGTAAATACGAAAATTTAGGTGTGAGATAGGTAAATACATAAGAATTGTGTGCTACTACATAAATGCGTCTATTGTAAAACGAAGCTTCATTATCATTGTTAGCATTTTCTACCATCCTTGTATAGTTTTATGGGTCTGGGTCAGTTTTTAACAGAAGGAACCATTGTCTTCGTCTTTCTTTGACTAAACTTGATAGAGAAGTCCAAATCGGTGGGGTAAAACCGTAGAAGTTAACTTTCTCATCTTGACAAAGTTTATATTCTAACTTAAATCGCAGGGTTTTGCAATTGGTAATGGCCTAACAAATCCTGGAATACAGTACAGTGCATATGCTGATTATGCATACAGCATGGGTATAATTGGAGAGAAAGCATACAAGGGAATTTCTAAAATATATCCTGTTTGTGAGCTTACAGCCAAACTTTGCGGTGGGTGGCCCTTATATAAAATCATAATTACAAATTTCTCTAGAGTGTCAATATATAAGACTGTTAAATGATACAGATTGGAAATAGCTTTCAATGTCTTTTGCAATATTTTGCAGGTGTTCATGGAATCATTACATGCATTGCTTCCTTGGTGGTTTGCAACTCTATCTTCGACTCAATTTTGCTTTTTGCAGGAGATATCAACGTAAGATTTTGATCATTGTTAATATGGTTGTACTTCGTCATTCATATGAATATTCTTACCGGAGTTGAATTAACTTTTTTCAGTATTATGATATTCGGAAAAAATGCCAAGGAAGCCTTTGTTATGATTTTTCCAACTTGGAAAAGTTTTTAAACCAGAAATCTGTTAAGAATGCTCTTGGCGTTGGTGACCGGAAATTTGTTCCTTGTAATCCTCTTGTTTATGAGGCTTTGCTTACTGATTGGATGAAGAATTTTGAAGAAATAATTCCTGCTTTGATTGAAGATGGTATCAGGCTTCTAGTTTATGCTGGCGAATATGACCTTATATGCAACTGGCTTGGTAAGTTTCTGCTTTCTTATGTGTATTTTTTTTATACCAGAACTATATCTGTTCTTGTTGGGAAACAAGAAATAATCGGTAGGAAGCTTCTATTATCGGAGATAAAGCATCATAATTATGAATAGATAAAGCTGCAACGAGAGAGGTGCATATTTCTCCAGGAAATATATATATATTGAAAGAATGGGGGCGTGAGGTCCCCAACCCACCCTGTGGGCTCAACCCCCGCTAGGCCTGGGGGCGACCCATTGTGCAAATAATTCGAGGACCACCAAGCTTAAAGTGATACTGCGCCGCCAGGGGATTCGGACCTGTGACTTGAGGGGGCTACGACCTTCAAAAAGGCTACTCTATCAACAAGTTACGGAACACGCACGTGCGCCCAATTAATGATAATAAAACTTAAGATATTATTTTGAATTAAGTATTCTTCTTGTTAATTATTTAATTTTTATAATATGTTTGCCCCCCTAAAACAGAGGGTGGTTCCGTCCCGACAAACAAATAACAACAATGATTATATGCTCTCAAGAAGGATCCTTCTATTTTTCTTAATTTGACTTGGTCAAAATATTCTCTTCATGGAAGTATTTTATATATACATAAACACACACACACACACACACACATATTTCTTCTCTGCATCCAGCTATGCAGGGCCTCGACTGCATTTTATTTATATTTTGGAATTTTGTTCCAGGATTCTGAGTTCAGCTGGAGCTTTTTTTTTTTTGGACTTTTCATAAGGGTTGTGTTTGAGTAAAGTGTCAAAATAGTCCCCCAACTCTTTACATGGAGTCATTTAGTCTTAGATTCTATAAAAATATCAACTTATTCCCGAAACTCTTTAAATTAGGACTGAAATGGTACTCTGTGGAGACTATTTTGACTCATATTAAAAGAGTTTGGAGACTAAATTGCAACACATTTAGCTTCTGAGGCTGAAATAACCCTGCGAAAAATCAGGGGACTATTTTGACACTTTGCTCTGTTGTGTTTGCTAATTTTCTTAAAATTATTTTATTGTATTTTATTTTTTTTATTGGAGTTGTATTTGTTGATTTCTGAGTTCTATACGAGAATAAATTTTGGAAAGTTTACAATCATGTTAAACTCGCTGCAGACTTATAGTTTATCTTTATGCGATTTTGATATAATATGATTTTTACTCTTCTTACCGATGAGTAATCAGGGAAAATAAATGAGTATCTTAAATTCATAATTTTTTCATGTGTTTTTTTATTTTTTATTTTCAGGGAATTATAGATGGGTTGGTTCAATGAAATGGACTGGTAATCCAAACTTCTCTGTAGCTCCCTTTGTACCATTTATTGTTGATCACCAGGAAGCGGGGCTGTTGAAGTCATCTGGACCTCTAAGTTTCCTCAAGGTAAGCATCCCTGCAACGGCATTTAGCTCACTATTTCACACTATTTTTCAAAAACTCTAGCTGTGTTTGATGGATAAAATGCGCAAAAAAGATAAATTTTGAATCTTTGCAATACATAAAGTAATGTTGTGCTGACGAATCTTCTCATCTTATAACATATTTTTATTATGGGGCATTTACATACATACCACACAATTCTTATGTATTTACTTGCACATCTAACTTTTATACATTCATATTTACATGCATACCACTCAAATCTTTAACATCGCTTAAAAAATACAACCATCACTATCTTTTTAAAGGTAAAACACGCCTTTTCATGCATAATTTTATGACATGGAGGTATTATAAGTGTAAATGCATAAGAGTGTGGTATGTATGCAAATTTCCCTTTTATTTTCTTAAAGAAATTCTCATGAGTTATTTGACTATGGTTGAGTGTGGGTGGCTGAAAGTGTTAGTCTTATTTGTGTTTATTTTTTTATGTTTAGTTTTTATTTTGTTTTTAAAAGTAGAATAGAAAGGGTCATTTACATAGGTACCCCCCAATTCCTATGTATTTACATGTCTAACACCTAAATTTCTCTTTTAACATTTTTACCATCCAAATCTGTCATATACATAAAAAGTACCACTATTTTAAATTTAATAAAAGGTGAAATATACCTTTTCATGCATAGATATTGTAGCATGTAGGTAAAAATTAAGGTTTATGTGTTAGATATGAAAATACATAAGAATTGAGTGGTATGTATGTAAATCTTACTAAAAAAATAACAAAATATGTTTATTCTGCATTTTCAGTTCAGTCAGACTTTATAATTAGGGATCATAATTCATAGATAATCTGACAGAGATTAGTAAAACCCAAACTTTGTAGATTCTTAATGCGGGACACATGGTTCCAATGGACCAGCCCAAGGCAGCCCTGGAGATGTTGAAGAGGTGGACCCAAGGGAAGCTTGTAGAGGAACACAGCTCTTATGCTTCTGATGAGATGTAGCTTTATACTATATATATATTATATATATATAATGATACACGTGCAAAAATGATATTTTGGCTTAGCATATTCTTTTTGTAAACCCAATATCTTTAATTATAAATTAAACCGTACCAAATGAAGTTTTAATAATTATACTGCTAAGTTTGGTCATGGAATGCGGCTGTTAATTTCCTTATTATTTTGCTAAATAATTAGTCGAACCTAAATGTGAGCTGCAACTTTTTGTTTATAATTGATGTGAAGGTGATGATATTAAACTCATAAATTGCTATGACTGAATGCACTAAAATTTTAAAATTTTGGAATATAATTAGTGTTTTGTGTTGAGATGTTCACTATAGTAAAGATGATTTTAATACTTTGAGTTGTATAAAAGTCCTTCATACAAGGCTACATAAATAGAAGCAATATGTGAAAAAGAAGATATATTATGTGACAATTTTGGGAAGGGTAGCCACAAAATGAAGTTCTAGTTTAGTTGAAATAATTTAATTTCTTTTTTTCTTGTAATTATATGTGTGAATATTATATAATATAAAATAATAATCAACTTGTTTAAGATAATAACTGGGCATGTTGATCGAGGTATTACACTTTCCTCTTGCATAAAAAACCATTATAGTGTGTATTTTAAGCCAAAGTTAATAGCTTGTGGATGCATCCTTCTACAACTTTGACTCTTTATCCCTTTCTTCCAAATTTATTAATAGATGCCATCACAATCTTGGTATTTTCTTGTATGGATGTGAGGAAAATGCATAGGTTAAATGTGGGAATAGTGACAATGTGCATGCCTTTATATCATTGATATTGGTAGGATTGATACAAGTTGAAGGCTTATCATCAATTGTATCAAAGAGTGTGTTGTTGACATCAATATTAGTGTCGGAAGAGGTTGAATTGATCATGATGAAGATGAATGCGTCTAAATTCTATTTGAGATATTTGATTGAGCTTTTAGATTAATCCTCAGAGGTTTCTACATCCTCCCTCTTTAACCTCCTAAGTCTTATCATCATAATGGCACTAGAGTTGACATTGATGCATACTGGTGATGAGGATTAGGGGAGCACGAGGAATAATAGAGAATATTTGCCGTTTAAATCACTAGAGAAAGGGTTACTATCTCACAAAGTGATCTTTTCCAATCTTAGAAAAGGAGGAGAAAAATGTAGGAATTGATCACTTGAATTCTGTGTCACGAGAGTAAAAAAGCATATTTGAATAAAATCGAAAGCAAGATCCAAGCGTAACATATGAGAGTCAAATCTTGATGGGGAGATGATTGTGCAGTGCCCTTAGCTTTAAATGACATCTTATGCTTGATATGTTTGCTTTAAAAATGAGTATATTGAAATTCAATCCTAATAACAAGCACATAAAATGAGGACTATGAGGTTGACATGCTTATTTTGGAGAAACTTTAATTAGGTCATGCTGGTTATCGAGTAGTTAGCATAGATAGTTGATGTTAAACAGTGTAGTAGTTACAATAACCAAAATATATGGTTGTCATGATCAAGTAACAAACTTTTTAAATTTCTTTTAGTAAGCCCATATAACTATTTTCATGATTATAAGTTAGTTACATAGAAGGGTAAAATTCTAGCCTTTGTTGACCAGCCATTGTTGTATGGAGTTATTACATTCTTATCAGGGATCCTGCAGAGCTCCGGACTACTCAAATAGTCATGGCTAGGTTATTATTTGCATGGTTATCTAGGATATTTCAACTTGCTTGCAAAAGAACATTGTTTGTACCAAAAGAATAACAACCATGAGTATGTTATTCTTCCAATCATAAACACGATCATGTCACAACAACAACATGCTATGTGTAGTCTTTTGACATATGATTATTGGAGCACCGTATCTTGAGCCACTAATGAAGGGGTAAAGCTTATTATACTTAAGACATGCTTGCCCGCCATATTCAAGAAAAACTTGTCAACTGAGGTAGATTCACTTGCAAGCAAGCATGGGAAAAGAGCAATTGGATGCCTTTGTGATGGAGTACCCCCTTTAACTATGTTTTTTTCATCTCTCTATCAATTGGATGCCACAACAAGATTGTTTGAAATGAATTTTCTCTAATTTATTGTAGTTCACTAATGAAGTTTCACTTTCTCTCCCCACAATCATGATAATGTTTCTTAATGATTACCATCTCTTCTTATAGATTACCTAACTTTACCTGTTATTAAAAGAGAGACTTATCTAATTCATCATCGTTGCATTACTACTACTTGGTTCTCAATACTACTAGTTATCTATCATCTGACGGGTGCCATTAACTTACATACTTCCTCACATGGGATATCAATCATACATAATATCTATTATATTTTTCTAATGTGCCATCCAATTATAATGAGTATTTTTCTTTGTGTAACTTGATTAATACTAGCATGATTTTTTTAATTGGGCTATAACTCAATTTTCTTTCCTTCTCAAATCTTTCATATAGAAAATCTCATCTTTTAAGAGGGCGTGCAAAAATTTCATTCAAAAATAAGATGATAAATTCCTTTCATACTAGTGAACAATCCAACTCTAACATTAAGAACATGGGGACTTACACATGCTTTGTTAAAATTTTATGAAACTTTACATGTATTAATTTGATTTTTATTTTATTCATATGTCACCCTAATGTCTAAATCACATAAAAAAATGCATAAATGCATGCATTTAAGTTCAAATAAGTTAATATTAAAGTGCTATATATAATTTAAAAATTTAGATGTTTATATATCTAATTATTAAAGCAAGAAATAGGGGCAATGCATCCAAATTCCCCATATATATACACATATTAATAATTTTAAGAGATTCAAATTTGTCTAATGGTGAATCAAGAGTCAACTAATGGTTTATAAATTTATTAAGCTGAAATTCACAAAATTCACTTAATTATAACCTTTCATCTATATATTTTAAGGGGCAATTACATACAGACCATCCAAAACTTGTTATTTACAACGGCAACACTTATCCATTTTTTAAATTTTTACTCAAATATCAAAATTTATGGTAAAAGCCTAACCCAATTGTATCCATTTTTTAAATTTCTATTAAAATATCAAAATTTATGGTAAAAGCCTAACCCAATTTTTTAAATTTTTATGAAATTCTAAATAATTTAATTGACACATGAAAATACATCAGTTCAATACTTAAAAAAAGAAATTAGATAATTAATTTGTAATTATCAATATTTCGGGTGGTCTTTATATAATTATCCACCACTTATAAATTGATTTTTAATGGTTATATGTTTCACATAATCTAAACATACTAAATTTCCCACTGTTCCTAATAATTGCAGTCCACAGACGGTTTAAAAAATATTAAATAATCAACAAAGAATATTTTTTTTTCAGAAGAAACCGACGACATGACGTCATATGCTGGAAGGTCTTTTGTGGAATTTCCTTAATCTACCTGGTTCGTAATAAAAGACTCTTCGGACAGCTGGATATGAGAGATCCTTCCCATAGAATTTTTTTTGGGGCATTTACATACATACCACCCAATGTCTATGAATTTGCATATCAAATATCTAACTTTTAATTTTTATATTTATACCACCCAAATCCACCATATAAGATAAAAATGACCATCATTTTTAAATTTAACTTTCTAAGAATTAGAATACGACTATTCATGCCTAAATTATAATATATATATATATTAAGTATTGAGGGTATGCATGTAAATCTTTTTTTTTTTGTTCAAGCATGTAGCCACAGGATGCAAGGATTTGTACAGCTCTGCGATTCCAACAAATCTCCCCATTTCTGATCTTCTCTCTCGTCGCGCTTAACCCATGTAGAGCGCGAGAAGAGCAGAGGAGAAAGAGAGGGTAAAGATCAGGTATTTATTGAAGAATAAAGAGAAGAGATGTCCGTGGATGAGCCGCCGCAGGGCTCGAAGAAAGCCCTAAGTTGTAGCCCTTCGAGGAGCCCAGCAAGCTTGAAGTTTTATGGCGTGCTGGCGCAGAAGCAGCGGAAACCCTCGACGGTGTCCAAGAAGCCACCGGAGCCGCTCCGGCGAGCCGTGGCGGAATGCCTTCCACCGTCCCTAATCTCCACGGCAATCCATCATTGTTTTCATCCGAAGCCGCTAGGATTCTTCGGGTTCGTTTACCTCTTTTCTTCATTTTAGATTCGTCTCTGAATGTTCTGGTTGCAGATCGTAGGAGTTGGTCGGAATGTGGAATGTGGAGTTCTGTTTGTCGGGCTGTAGGTCTCGAGTTGGGATTGAGTGGAAAGGCAATTTATAGTTTGCGGATGCCATCTTGGAATTTAGGTTGAAACTTGAGGCTTTCTAGTGCTCGTCTTTGAGTGGCTATGTTGCCTCCTGGAAGATGTCTTCTGCTGTAATGTCCTAAGAAATGCAAATGCATGTTTATTTAAGTTCACTAGTAAGAGGGTGACACATGTAATGAAAATTTATAGATCGAATATGGATAACTCATCCAAACAATTTTGGATAACTCTTTTTTTTTTCTTTAATTTTCCTTGAGGCAACTAAATGATTCAATAAACGCAGTGTTTTTTTTTCCCTTCTGCGGCAGTAGCAAACTACAAACTTAAAAAGGAGAAGTAAATGCAATTATATGAACCATGAAATTAATTGGAACCTTTGTAGTGAAGCGAAAAGATTAAACTTGTTAAAATACAATGTCCAAATTTGTTCTTCGAGTATACATTGAATGCTATACAGGGTATTATAGAATTATCTGGTCAAATATGTTGGAGGATCTCATTTAAGTACTTGTTTTTGGCTTGGGAAATGATTTTATTATTGCATTCTTTTCTAATTTTGTGTACATTTGGCATACATTAATTTCTTGATAGGATTGGGATTGGTGATCTTAAGTTTCTAAAAATGAAATATTTAAGGGAACACACACACTTGATCATTGATTCGTTCTGGTTTCTAATTTCTATATGAATCTTACTGGGTATGTACTGAGTTACCAGTTTTATGTGATTAATCTTTTGGAGCCAACATGATGAAAATTGAAATCTTGGCGGACTTCTAATTCCATAAATTTTACAAATTAACTTCTAAGTCATCTGAGTGGCTTATATTTGGGTTTTTCCTAAGTTCAGTCATTTGTGACACCTAAAGAAATGGTACACTTCACTAAAATTTCAGCAGCCAAGTTGTGGATTTCCCAAACTTAATCTTTTCTAATCTGAAAACTTTGTATTAAGATTCTTAAAAACTTGTCCGGGTCAATGAGAAGCTAAACAAATGAATAATGGCCATCCTCAGGCCTCAGATTTTATTTTTTTTAGAAACATGTAATATGAATGCTAGATGATTATATCACATGATATTACCTTTTCTCTTACAGGATTTTCTAGCTAACCCAGCAACTGTTGATATGGCTTACAATGTACTCTTAGAGCATGCCCTTGCAGAGAGAGATCGAAGGTACTTATAAGGTTTTTTGACATCAACTATCTGATGCTCCTTAAAGCATGTTTTTAATTTCTTATAAATGTTAAATTTTCTTTCCATTTCTCTTCCTTTATTTTGTGTCATTATTTTGCATACTTGTTAACGATTAAATCATTTTTTCTGCATTACACATGCTGGCAGCTGTTGCTATAGAAAATAAATTATTTTTGTTAATGACTCTATAATTGCATGCTTTTGATGAAGGCCTATTTTATAATGTTTCATGCACTTCATTGAGAATGGTATTTATGTAACTTCATTTTGATGTCTTTTTTGTAAATAACAGGATATGATGTCACACCCTAACACTGACATTATGGGATATGATGAATGGATACCATTTCAACTCGGTAGATAATTTTTCAAAGTTTAGGAGATGTAAAATGGTTTTATGTTTAATAGAAAGGAATTTACTCTTAAAAGCGCAAGTATATAACTGTACGATATAGGTAATGAATCTATCTTCAAATTAAACTGAAATATCATATTATTTAATGGAAAGAAAGAAAACAACTATATTTGGAAGAGTAAAATTAAAATCTAACACAAATGTGTGAAACAAATAAGTTAAATGTTGAAGTAACCAATACCTGAGGGCTGACCTCAATGAATATCATAATGCTAATAATTCTGATCTTGTGATGATGATTCACTAATCAACTTGGTGGGATTTATTGAGAGAGAAAAATGTAAGTTCAGTTGGAAAGCTCAATGGGAAAATTCTATGGTTTAAGGTATAAACTATAAGACATTGGATGTGCAATATGATCAAGAAAATGTTATCATTATCAAAACATTATTATAACAATAGAAGTCACGACATCAACTTAGATTAAAATCTTATGTCATGAATTATTAGAAAAGATAAGTAATAAAATATGATTACCATGCTGTAGAGTTCATAAACAAGTTTTATTGAATGATGTTAAATGCCAAAATATCAATGGCATTCTTACCATAATTATTTGGGGCTTTTACGTACATAGCACCCAAAATTTCATATTTATTTATCTCACACCAAAACTTTCATAATTACAAACATCATGTGAAAAGTAGCACTCATTATCATCTTTTAATAGTCAAATTCATCTTTTTATCCATTGGTAAAACACTATGTGTGTAAAAATGAAACTTTGGGTGTGAGTTATGTAAATCCATAAGAATTGGGTGCTATGTATCTAATTTTTCCTTATTATTTTTATATCCAAGAATGATAAATAGAGTCATTGTGACGCGGGTCTTTTTTGACGCAACAACAGTCAAGCGATGCAGGCATCCCTCCCACGACACTAACACAGATGCATGAGTTGGAGAATGTTGGGACCGATTCAGTTCAAGCTCTGGGGGAGTCAGTTGGCTCTTCCAAATGGGTTGGTGCCTCTTTTCAATAGAAGAACCAACTTGTAGTTATCTTAGGGTTATATATTTAGGTTCCTGAGATTTTAGGTTTAGTTTCATATGTTTCCTGTCGAGATAGCTATCGGTGGCTCCAAATTTCCCTTCTAGAGCTATATCTAAGAGTGATTTGTGCTCTGACTGTATCTCTTTTCGAGGTGGTGACTATCCTCGACTTCACCTTCCGCCACACACTTTTCTGCCCCATTCCAGTCCATCTTCCACTTGTTATTGCCTCCTAATCCCTCGCTCCCACTTATTATTGTCTCGCCTAATCCTACTAGCATCCTTCATCCATTGCTACTGTCCACCCCAACCGACCCTATCATGTCACAACCCCTTTTTCCATGACTGTCTCTATTCAAGAATAACCAACCTATTGTACTTTGATCTGCAGCCCCTTATCGTCCCTACCTCTTGCTCCGCCAACCACCGACCACTCATCCATCTCTAACCCTAGCTTTGCCAACCATCAACCCCCCTTTCATCCTTTTTAACCGACCACCATCCCTTTAGGATACGATCTTAGTTGTATTTGTGTCGAGTCCGTTTCTATTTCTATTTTCATTTGTGTTATTTTATTTCTCTATTTTAAATTTAGCAATAATATTTGATTTTTTTATTATGATTTGGGTTAACTCTGTTATCACCATCCTTTGGTATCAGAGCTTGCCTAACCCTATTCCTATCTTAGGGTTGTCAAATCAGTCTCTCTTTCTCATTTCCACTCAAGTCATCCCTACATACGCTTCTACCCCTCCAAACCTAAACTCTAGCCACACCACCAATGATACAATTGTCGGAAACCTGATCGGGAAGAAATGACACAGTACCATTTATGTGAGAAATTTACAAAGAGATGTTCAAGAATTTTCTAGGGAAATTCTTCAGATGCAACAGAGGCTTGCCACCTTCGAGAAGAGAGAATTAGGTAGGGTCACATAGCCACAACGGTGATTCGTCAGATCGAAAGGATGAAGTAAATCCCTTTCACAGAGCAGTTTTCACTGATGAAGAATTAATTCCGCGGAGATTTGACATGGAATATCATAGGAGAAGCCAAAATTTTGGAGTGGAGGGTGACTTGCCATATCTTGACAGTCACATGGATCCAGACTAGTTTATGGAGTGGCTCTAGGCAGTGAAATGTGTCTTTGACTACCGGGATATCTCACCTGACAGAATGGTATAGTTAGCCGCCACTAAGTTAAAAATAGATGGTTGTTGTGGTAGAAAAAATTTAAGCGCCTATGCTGACGGGAAGGGAAAAATAAAGTAACTACCTGGTCCAAAATGAAATGAAAGATGCAGCGCAAGTACCTACCAGTTCATTAAATATAGGACTTGATCTCAAGGTGACATCACCGAGTGACCGTCACAGCTTATATACAAAGTTCAATTCCAAGGTCAATTAGTTAGGGGAACATCCAACCTGACCCCGCCTAAGGAGAAACTTATTTGTAGTGGAGAGCAGGTGAAGCCAACCAACATTATCAAATCTGTCACAACCAAAAAGTGCGTCAAACGCCACTGTTATGGGCTCAGTGCATCAGATTGCTCAAACAAGAGTGCGGTTTATTTCACTGAGCATGAAACAGTAAAAAAATTGGACAATGTACAATAGACAACGGACAAAGTGATGAAACAAATGAGTACATCTGCTAATTGATGAGGGAGAAATGCATGTAATTTAAGTTGAGCCCATGAGAGACACTCAAACAAGATTAACAGTTGTTTTTCTAAAAGAGATTGAGTCCGAGGGTAGTGTTCATGCAAAGTATGAGTTTGTGGTGCCTAAAATTTTTTTGTTTGCAGGTGTTAAAAGGAGCATCAACTGAACTGACATTGGATGTTCAATAGGGTCATGAGTTCGAGGAGTCGATACCAGACACGGGGCAACCTCAGGTAAGAGAATTTCTTAATTTTCAGATATCTAGCCTACCTCCAGAGTTGCCCCTATTGAGGGAAGTTCGACATATCAAAGATAAAAAAATTTTGAGTTATTTCTGGAAGACCATATGAAGTCATTTGGGTATTAAATTCAATTCAACAATGTACCTATCGACCGATAGTTAGACAGAAGGGATGACATGTAGCTTTAGAAATCATCTTAGGCTCTTGGCGGGAAAGAACATCTCTATGATGGGATCTAGGTTCTTCCAGAGAAGAAGATGTCTCTCCCAAGTGGTTGCTATTGAGACTTGCCCAGTCTGCCACAAATTCAATCCAGAGTTAGTTCGTCTAGACGAATTTGTTTATCAGATGCACTCTACCGAGTGCAGGGAATGGAAGGTGCAAATTACAGGTTAATGAGTTTGGAGTTACTTTATGAAAATTTATGTCGATATGCAAGTCCAGTTTAGATCGTGCCAAAAGATGATGGATACTTATTCTATCAGGATATGCTTTGGAAAGATAACAACTATATGATTGACTTATAGGAAAGTTACATTAACTCCACCTTTAAACATGGCCGACATGAATTTATATTACGAGGACACAGAAGCTTCGACGAATGAGGTCGAAACTCCCCTACCGCGGTATTGTGACGTGGGGATTCTTTGATGCAGTTACAATCACATGACGCGAGTGTCCCTCCTGCGATACTGACGTGCACACAGGAGTTATAGAATGCCCGCTCCTAGTTATCCTTGGGTTTTAGTTTGTGTTCTTGATGTCTTACGTTTAGTTTTCGTACTTCTTTTTATCTAGATGGCCGTCGATGTTTTCATTTTTTTTAAGTGTTGTATCCAAGGGTGAGTGATGCTCCGATTATATCTCGTTCTGAGATGGTGACTATCATTGACTTCCCCTTCTGCCGCATCCTTCCCTCCGCCGCTGCTGTCGCCGTGCTTGTTGTAGCCATCCAGAAACAGCCTTCCTTGGCTATTTTTCTACAGTTCCACTTTGGTACCACCTTACAGATCAACTTCCATCTTCCCTACCTCCCAATCCTTCGTTCCCACCTACTATTGCCTCTCCTAATTCAGTTACCATCCGTCCTCCTTTACTGTTGTCCGCCCCAGCCGCCCCCAACTAACTTTGTTTTGTTGCGGCCCCTTTCTCCATCACTGTTGGTGTCGAGGAGTAGCCAACCTGCTGTTATTTGATACGTCAACCTTTTACCATACCTAACCCTTACTCTGACAACCACCGACCGCGCTTAACCGATCATCATCCTTTTGGAATACTCTTTTAGTTGTGTTTGTGTCGAGTTTGTTGCTATTTCTATTTTTGTTTATGTGACTGTATTACCCTATTTTGAATTTAGCAATAATATTTCGTTTTAGTATCATTGGTTTAGGTTAGCTCCTGTATCACATTGATTATGCTTGTTGATAAATACTTAAGTTACACATTAAGCCCAAGAAAAACACCTTTGCCTTAAAGGATCTTATAGGATCTCAAAGAACACCTTTGCCTTAAAATTCACAAATTCCAAAACCGAATTACAAGAAATCACCAAAAGACCATAAAATGTAATCAAAACTGGACATCCTACACATTCAAACTTTAAAGACAGGGAAACCAGCAATTTTAACCGCTTGTTTCTAAACCCCAACAACTTAAACTTCCAAATAACAATATATATATATATTTATATATATATATATATATATATAGTACACGCATACACTTCTTGGGGCGTTTGTTGGTCTTGAGGCCAAATTTTACTTTATTTCTTATACATTTTTTTCTCTCCCTATTTTTCGATCTCTTACAGGCACATAGAAATGAGCTTACAAATGCACAGCCACGCAGCACACATTCATGCAGAAGAAAAGTTTTGGGCCATTACATTTTTCCATTTTTAGAAAAAATTGCTCTTTTGGGTTACATGCTTGAGTTTTGAAATATGTTATTTTGACTCAGTTTTCTTAATCCTGAGAGACACCTGCCTTAAATACAATTTTTTTAAACAAATTGGGCCTTTATTACACGATTATAAATTTATGCATTTAGAAAACATTTTGGATGCAAATTTAAGTTTTCAAAACCTATCTAGTTTTTGAGATTATAGTTCACTATTGTGTAAGGCATGCTTGTGCATTTTCAATTTTTTTAGTCTCTAAGATTATGAATGATCCCAAAGGATTTTCTTTCTCTCATAAAAAGATGTTTTTTTTTCAGCCCAGCAGTTGTCCCACGCTGCATCACTTTACTAAAACACTATCTTCTGAGGTAAGTTATCCTTATGAAATTTTGCATTTGTGAAGTCCTGATAAGTACTAGTTTATTTCATGGTATTTATTGTATTTTTTTTTTCTCTGTGGCAGATATGTGCCAAAGGCGCAAATGTTACGGCAGGTTGATCGTTTCTGCGAGAATTGTATTATCGAGTGTGAAACTATTTCAAAACGAGTATCATTGTGTTCTAACTCATTAAGCCAAAATTCTAGGACATCTTCAAACACTTTACCCTCATTGCTACCTGCTTCCAGTTTTGCCTCGGCTTCTCTTGTAAAATCCTTGAATTATGTGCGTTCCTTAGTGGCGCAGCAGCTTCCTAAATTATCATTTCAGCCATTAACCTCTGGACCTTCTTCAACCTCTGGAAAACAAGCACTACCCTCTCTATCATCGTTCTTGTCTAAATCTTTTACTGCTCATCTAAACTCTGAAGTTGCTACCAGCGCAGATTCTCCTCAAAGAAAAGAAACTTCCTTACAATCTTTGATGAAAATCTCAGACCTTGATAAAGATAATGACAATAGTGACAAGTACATTAACTCTGACCTCATTTCATGGCGATTGTCTAGCCATAGAGAAAACCAATCAGCTTATTTGATGAGAGAAAGGTACCTCTCTTTTTGTTATTTGAGTTCATGTCTTTTCCTTTCAACAACATTTTGGAAGATTTACATACAGACCACTCAATTCCTATGAATTTACATATATAACACCTATACTTCACTTTTAGCCTATATACTGCCTTACCCATGCATGGAAAGGTGTATTTTAGTTTTTTAAAGTTTAAATGGTAGGATGTTTGGTGTGATAGATTTGGTTCGTATAATGAATGTGAAAGGAAAGTTTAGGTATTAGATATGTAAATACATAAGAATTGGGTGGCATGCATGTAAATGCCTTTAATATTTCTGAATTTCGTAAGATTGCTTGGAATTTACTTTGCCAATGGTGGCAGTCCCTTGAAGACTACTGGTCTCCATAGACATGGTTTTATTGAAGTTGGTGCTGCAGCTCTTCTTATCGACAACAAAGAGGCGAAATTAAATGAGATGTCGTCAAAATATCCTATTTCTCAGAATATGCCTGATGTTGGCCAGCTTTTGAGGCCTCTGTCGCCTTTGTCGGCCACAGAAAGTACGAATTTTGGTTTTGTCGAGAGCCATCTTAAAGCAATCGCTGCCTCCAAGCGTATGAAAGGTGGACCTCATCAAGTCTGGTATGGTTTTCCATCCTCAATAAAGTTATTGCTTTTGGCATTTTGATTTTGTTGTTATTTGCATTTATACGGTAAGTTATGAAGATTTAGTAGCTTTGAATCTTATATATTTTTTTGGATACATCATAACTTCACTCACTTGACTTGCTTTTGTCCTTTTTTTCTTATGATATAAGATCTCTTTCTGGGAATTGCATAATTACCCCCAATAAAGGGTGATGTGAGAATATTTTTGTGTGATAAATGAAGTCTGGAAAAGTTGTGGATCATTGAAATTGAAAAATTTTAGAATGAATGATCATATATCGCAGAATTTGCTTATGTGGATGTGAATTTTCTTGTCCAGGGAAAAGGTATCGACAAGCACATTCCATCCACGACCACACCCCCTTTTTCAGTACAGGCATTACAGGTATGGAATGTAATTGTGTAATATTTTAGAATAAGAGTGTTATCGTTTACTTAGATCTCAATGTAATAGCAATGATTTTTTTGGACAGGTTTTGCTATTTAACACTATCCGTGTTAGACATTCTGGCCATTCAATATTGAAAAAATATGAATAATATCTTCTTTTTTTGTTTCATAGAAGTCAAACTAGCTGCTAGTTCTTGAAATCTCTTTGGCAATTTTTGGATAATGCATTTGCTTTCATTAATAGGCAAGAGTGACTTCACAAAGAGGAACTACGCTTGGCCAAAACGGAATATTGATAAATTTTTACAATATATTGGATTATGTTGCATTATTTTTTAATCGATATGAAATTTTAGTTGCATGAAAGGGTTCATGTATTTCATGGAGTCAACATTGATAAATGTTTACAATGTTAATTTACATACTTAGCACCCAATTCTTTTGTATTTTCATATCTCACACCTAAACTTTCATATTTACCTACAATAGCACTTTGGTGCTTTAAATATATATGCATGAAAAGATATATTTCACTTTTAAAAGGCGGTAACAGTGCTATTTTTTATGTAATATTAAAGATTTGACAGTTATGCTTGTAAATATGAAATTTAGATGTGATATATGTAAATGCATAAGAATTGTGTGCTATTTATGTAAGTCTTTTATCTGTCAGCCATAAATTATGATTACAATTTCAACTTCACAATTATTGTCAATCTAATGTATTTTCCTCTTTCTATGTTAATGAATTAGGCAATTACAATGCATATTTCCTAGACATTATTACTTTTTTCTTTTAAACCTCTCTCTCTGTCTCTTTCTCTCTTTCTCTCTTTCTCTCTCTCTTAATTGGCCGGTAGTATTTCTAAGGGATAATTGGATTCCCTAACGATTATATTTTATGTATCAGTGAGCAGCAGCCTCTGCGGTTAAATCCTGCTGAGAAGTCATTGCTGAAGCTTGCTCAGAAACCTCTTTGACGCCTGGTAATCTGACTATGTCGTCTCCTCTGGCTAAGCATAATGCACGGCCTGTTGCAGAAGTTGCCATTAGTGTCCTCTTAAAACTTGTTATTGACATGTATGTTTCCTAGACCTAATCATGCATCATCTCATAATATCTCCTATGCTTCTTGTTAATTTGTTTTTAGTGATTTAGATATGACAGCAATGGTGGTATATTTGGTGTGATATGAAAGTTTTGGGTGGTATAAATATAAAAAAATAAAGTTTAGGTGTTAGATTTGTGAATACATAAGAATTGGGTGGTATGTATGTAAATGCATCTATTCTTATTGTTTTATTCGTTTAATGCTGTATTTGCTGAGCTCCATCTCTAACTTAATATCTCTCAATGTGAGATTAACGAGGTTCACTAATTTCTTATTGCAGAATGTGCTTTAAGAAGTGTTTTTAAGTAGCTGCTGTTTCTTTTGTTATAAATTAGAAGAAGTTCTCATTTTTATAATTTTTTCAGGATATGGGAATGGTTTTTGTTTGAATTAAAATTTTGAGAAGTTTTTCTGTTGCCTTATGTTAGATTTTATCGCAATATTTTTATCATTCTGTTTGTGGCTCAGAAACTTCTCCTTTTTTTTTTTTTTGCAGTTCAAGGGATAAGTGTTGCTTTTATTTTGTAGGTATGTGATGGATTGTGCATCTGCTGCTCCTTTCACTCTTTTATTGCTAGAGGTGCTTCATTTTCTTAAAAAAAAAAATTGATTCGTTTACTTTATTAAAATCATCTAGTCAAATGCCTCATTTTCCACTGTATTGTCTCAGGATATGCTTACTTCTCAAACGGTGACGTCCAGGATCCGGGTTTTCGATTTACTTCTAAATCTCGGTGTTCATGCACATTTGTTGGAGCCTGTACTAGATGACACCCCACCAATTGTGGAAGAAGAGGTTTCGGAAGAACCATGCTTAAGCAATGAAGACCAAGGAGCAGTGGGAAATATCAGTGCTGATGTTACCATACATCAAAAAATGGTTTCAGCTGTTGAAAAATTCGAGCGATGGCTTTTAGCCATTCTGTTTGAGGTTCTTCAGCTACTCGTACTGGTATTTAACCTCGTTGCTATTAATCTAACAATTTACTTGGAAGTTGTTCTCCATGAAACTGGTTATCTGCACATCTGGAAATTATTTTCTCAATATAATTTTCTAAAGCCAAGTGCAGGCAATTATGAGGATGATACACTGTTTGTTTAATGCTATATTTCATGTTTTGTTTAGCTGAGGAGATAACTATTGATCTGCGCAACTTGATTTGTTTCTCACATGATTACATTTCATATTATTATAGTTTATGAGAAAAGTGTCAGAAGGGTCCCGGTCTCTGACTTTTGTCGGGGGCCATTTTAGTCCCGGAATCCATAAAAGTGTTGATTTAGTCCCCCAAATTATTTTAAAGGGGGCTAAAATAGTCCTCCCTTGGGATTGTTTCAGCTCATATAAAGAGTCTGGGGGCTATAATGAGACTTTTTTATATACTCTGGGACTAATTGACCCCATCTAAATAGTCAGGGGACTATTTGGCACTTTAGTCTTTAGTTTATTCTTGTGTAGTCATTTTCCACTTGAATCTGTAGAGATAAAACAGAATCGAGATTGAGTAGATTTCTTGATGAATAGGAGATGGTTAATGTCTCCATTATTTCAACAATAATTTCCTTAATTTTTTTGTATTACAGTTTGCAAGATTGTCACACATTTCTAGTTTTGCGGCAATCCCATATTTTCCTATGCAAAATGGCTTTATAAGTTAATGCTTCAAATTGCAGACAGAAGAAAAGGAGGAAATTGTCTGGGCATCTGCTTTGAGCTGTTTATTTTACTTTGTCTGTGACAGAGGAAATATATTGAGAAGCCGGTTGGATGGCCTTGATATACGGGTAAGATTTTTTCTACATTCTTTTTTCTGAATTTTAATTCATGCATTAATCTGATATTATTAATATAAACTTTTTGCAGTTGGTTCAATGTATGTAATTCATGTTTAGTGAATATTCTTACGGCTGATCTTGTTCTGATGGTTGTTTTCAGATGCTTCTGACCTGAAACTTTTTTTTTCTGGTTATTTTTCAAAATATAATATGCATTTAATTTTAGGTTTAATGAAAATATTAAGATAGATGTGCAATAAAGCTAAGAAGGATGAGATATGATTGTAGTAAAGGAAAGATGAGAGAAGCCTTTATTGAAAATAGATAATGAAAAATAATTTTGTTCGTTTATACATATATAATTAATGAAGAAGATACCCTATAGGAATAGTAGATGAAATTAATGTGTAGAGACTCAAAAGGAAAATGGGTACATCAGAGATAACAATGATAGGATTTTATGGATCAAGTCACAAGATAGATTTATCATTTCTTGGAATGAATGGAAAAGAAAATTGGTGTACTCAACCCTAAAGCGTTCAGATAAGAAAAAGAAGGCCAACATAAAAAAATAGAAAGAGAATAAGGAATCAAGGAGGATGGTTATACTAGAAATTCAAGGTCTCATTGGGAGAGTCAATGAAGCTTGGAATTTGTTGCGGTGAAGGTAACATGTCTTTATTGTTCGTTTGTTTAGTTGTCTATAGGTTTTATTGTCACATGAGAAGCCCTTATATTGTTACGGTGGTTATTAAGAAGTGGACTAAACTAATCCAAAGTAAACACCTTAATTGAAACAAAAGATAAAGATTAAGACTAGAAAATCCATAAAGGCTTATCCAATGCCGTGTTTTTGCTTTTTTCTTCCGGCTACTAACAAATTACTAGTTTTCTATGCTTGTTATTATCTGCTGATCATATCATGAAATTGATCATCCTTGTCTTCTTTTCGAATGCTTTTTATTTTAGTTTTTTTAATGATTTTTTCCTTTTTATTCCTTTCACTTAAACTGTATTGGTTTTGCAACAATTTGTTTTCATGGCATTAGTGTCTTCTGGGATTTTTTTGCATAGATCCACTTAATCTTGAGCCATTTTGCATCAAGTGGACATATATAATTATTGAGACTTCAGAAGCTTTTTATTTCGTTTAAATCACTAATGAGGAAAATTTCCATAACCAAGATGAACTTTTCACGTAAATCAACGTTAAAATTTTTTATTCACTCCGATGGCTACAGCAAGTTATTTGTATGTTTTCTAATCTATGATTATGCATGCAATTCTCTTATAGTCTTGCTATCCTCTTTTTTTTCACTGCTACTTTTTGGTACCGCAGGTTATTAAGATCCTTCTTGAAATTAGCAGAGAGCATTCATGGGCAGAAATAGTTCACAAAAAGCTTATTTGTATGTTGACAAATATGTTATACCGGACTTTGGATGGATCTCAAGAAGCTTTAGTAGATAATCACACATTACTTGTCGAACAGTTTGCTTTACTTGGAGGGATTGACTTCATCTGCCTGGAGGTTTGTTTTCAACCTGGATATTATTTATGTCTCGTGCAAAAATTATATTTAGCTGTTATTCTTTAGTTTCTTCTTTATACGCATTACTTATAATTTGGTTCATTGCTTAATTTAATTTCATTCTCAGTTAGAAAGCGAGTTACTATGTAGTTTCTAGGAGAATTATTTTAACACGAACACAAATTTATTAAGAATTGATAATGCTGGGATAAAATTGATCATGAGCTCCATTAGAAGGGTATTGCACCTTGAATATTCTAATTTATAAATCCTATCCCCAAATTATTGGTACAAGATTAATAGAAAATGCTTCTTCAATTTTCTCTTTTTTACTGAAAGTATTTCTATCATCAGGTCATGTCTGAGGAAAAATTTATTTGTAGTTATCGTATAGGGGTCCTCTAAATAATTTTAAACAGCCAAATGTTTCTTGATTTGGTTTGGGTAACTATTATTCCATAACTTTTTCATTGTAATTTCTTGATGAAGTATTTGATTAGTTGATAGTTTATATTATCATTATATATATTATTTTGAGTAATTACTTCAAATATTTGCATAAATTGTATTGTACTTATTTAGTTCCAATTTGCAGTATTCACAGGCCAGATCGAAGGAAGAAAAGAGGAATCTCTTTTTGGTCCTTTTTGATTATGCACTGCATCAGATAAATGAGGCACGCTTAATTTCTGGAACTTCTGCTTATGCTTTTGATGAGGTTCAGCCGGTTTCTTCCATGCTTAATCTTGCCAATGCTCCTGAAGCCTTTTACATTGCCGTTAAATATGGCGTGGAAGGTATTGGACAGATTTTAAAGAAATCCATTTTTGGGGCTTTGTCTAAATCACCAAATCATGAGCATCTTGATCTGGTACACATCTGTTGTGTTATTTATTTATTTATTTTATGGATTATTTGTCATACATATATATTCTTAAATAAGTCACACTCTTTGACGAACATGTCTGTTTGTGAGAATGTGTATATTCATATTTTTATATGAACCTACTGGTAGTGTGCAGGTCTACACGTTTAAATACGAATTTGTGGTTTGAGCTACAACTCTGTAAAATACAACAATAAGATAGTGAGTTTCTATTCAATTAAAGGTAAGATAGTAATAGATTTAAGTGATTTGGATATATACAATAAATGATAGAAAATTACAACAAGATCACATGTTGTCAAATTAGTGTTGAGGGAATTAGTAGAAAAAATGATCGGTTTGGTAAAACAACTTATTTGGCACTCATAAAGGTCAGATGGGAAATGAAGATTTATAGAGTTGACTCTATATAGTTGGAATTAGGCTAATGGTAATAATAATGTTGATGATTTGTGAGAAGTTTATAGATGATTATAGATTTAACATTCATTATTAATGCAATCCTACTACAGATCCAAACTCTGGGGATACTCAAATTTTTTTATGGGTGTTATTCAATACGCTTATCATACATTTTATTAAGAACTCATTATACTTTTGAAATACGCCTTTCTTAATGTATATTCATCAGATCCATTATGATGCTTTTTTTTTTTTTTTTTTTTTTTTAATAATAAATATTGTGACTCTATGAAGATCATTTCTTAATTTCCTATATGTTTCTATTAATTGCCTTATTACAAAAAAAACACTTTCATTGTAGATCTTCAGGCTTAAATCCAAATGAATTTTCAGATATTGACCCGTTTTTTGCAAGTCTATTTCATTACTTCCTCATACTTCAAAATCATGATTTCCCTAATTCTATAGATGCGCATGTTTCTTTCTTAAATATCGGTATGAAATTTCTTTATCCATTTATTTGACATTCTTTATAATTTTCAACATGCACTCGTTAGATTTGTCAACCTAACCGTTCCAATATATTCCATAGCTCTATGGGGTTGTTTGCATCGTACTTTTAGCAGGACTTAAATTATATTTAACATAAATCTACCCAAACACCATAAATAGGTTAGATAAATCCGTCATTAAGTTAAATCCAATTTTTGCTTGTTCCGTTAGTTAAATCCGAATTTATTAAATCCACTTATTAGTTGGATTTAATGGATTTAGCACAGGGAAAAAAAAATTTCACATAGTTATGCCAACCACATCAAATTGATTTAAGCTTAATCGAACCAAACACAATTTCATATTTAATAATATTTAGATTTGATAAATCCTGATTTACGGGATTTATTAAATATTATTTAACTTATTATCCTACTTGCACCCAAACATCCCCTATAATTTTCAAATGGGGTCTAATATGGACTTTAACTTCTACTTTTATTCATCTCCATATGAGTCAGCTTGAGTTCACTTGTTTGATTAGTCTGGCTATGCTTTATAAGTTTATTCACTATGTTATTTTCTAAAAAGTTTTTATTTTTAAAATTTTAATTTGATTGTTTCGCAATATAATTTATTTATTGTTGTCTTAGTTTTTAACTAGGACATTGTTATGTTCACTTCTAATTCGTTTAAGTTGATCAATGCCTTTTGATCTTCTATCTTTTATTTTTAATTATTTTATCTATCACTTTTTTTGTTGTAATTTTACCCAACCATCATATAAATCATCAAATGCTATACACTTATATTTCCTTAGTACACTTTTTGTAGGAATTCACCTTCCCTTTCCTAAAAAATTTGAACTTCCCAATAACTATTGGATGTCTCATTTTTTTCCTACTCTTTATGTCACATACCTTTTTTATGGATACTTTTGTAATTTATAATTTATCTTTCAGATTACTGAAAAAATCATCACGGAACTTGATGCTACCATGAGCGCATTTACTCATCTTGACAATGAGTTCGATCATATGCTAGAATTGACAAAATCTTACCTGTCAAGTTCTGCTTTAGACGAACTTGGAGAAACGGAGATCGGCTTGAGAACTGAGCTTTCTTGGGCTACATTACACTCTCTTCTACATTCAGAAAGGGCTGCATATCGTCATCATGGATATATATGGCTAATTGAATTGTTGATCTTAGAAATCAGCAAAGTAAAAGGAAGGAGCATATGGGCTAATATTGAAAATTTTAAGCAGCATTTTAGAGTTGCTGGAGGCCAGGATATAATAACATCTTCAGCTGTTCCATTGTCTATAATTATCATGTGCGGCCTTCTGAAATCAAAACATAATTTCATTCGAAGGGGTTTTCTTTTCGTCTTGGAAAGGTTTTTAATGCGATGCAAATTGCTTTTGGATGAAGATGAGTTGCAGGCCGTAAATTTTGAGGATAAAATCGTCAATCACAATCAAATCTTGATTCGCAAAGCAAATGCTGTTATAGATGTAATGAGTTGTGCTTTATCGCTAGCACTGGTAGTTTTAGTAAATGAGACTGACCACCTCAATATCTTGAAGGTATGAAAAACGAGATTTTGGTATTAATTCTTTTAATTTATAATATTTCAACTGTAGCCGTGTTTTTTTTTGTTAATTTAGCCGTGCTGTTTTTTTTTTTAATTTAGCCATATTGCATTATTTAGTTTGGAGCATGAAGGAAATGTATTTTCGATATAACAAAATATATAGGGAGCATTTTTTCTCAAAAAAAAAAAAAAAAAACTCTTTTAACATTAAGTATCATATTATTAACCATACTTTGCCCCGTGAAGTCAAACATAGGATCTGTTAGGAAATTATTCAGTAAAAAATTATTATTCCTTATGCTATTCATTGATTTTTTTTTACTTATTGCATGCTTAATTGGCTTGGATTATTAATTCTATGTTTCTTGTTCAGTAGCACAATTTGACGGTTTATCTGGACTCTTCTGACAGATGTGTGATATCCTTTTTTCTCAATTATGTCTGAGACTACCTGCCGCAAATGATACAACTGGGCACAACAATTGCCTCGAAAATCCTGTTACTCGTCAAACTCAAAAAGGCAACTCAGACTTATTTCCAAGTTCGCCCAAACCACAAAAAATTCACATCGACAAGTCTTTGAGTCAAGGTTTAACCATTAGTCATGAAACCGTGTCGATGGCCGCACTCGTTTTGCGCGGACATGCCATTGTTCCCATGCAGCTGGTTGCCCAAGTTCCCGCATCACTGTTCTACTGGCCATTAATACAACTTGCCGGAGCGGTGACTGACGACATTGCACTCGGTGTTGCCGTTGGCAGCGAGGGCAGAGCGAATGTTCCCGGTGCTACATCAGACATCCGAGCCGCCCTACTCCTGCTTTTGATTGGTAAATGTTCCGCTGATTCTGCAGCATTTCGGGAAGTCGAAGGCGAAGAGTTCTTCAGGTGATTTCTCTGTAATGGTTTGTATTTGATAAAGTGTCAAAATATTACGGGCTATTGCATATGATTATTTTAATCCCAGAGTCTATAAAAATGTCAAATTAGTCAGCACACTCTTTTAATTTGGGCTGAAATAGTTTTCAATGAGGATTAATTTAGCCCCCATTAAAATAGTTTGCGGAATAAATTAACACTTTTATAGACTTTGGGACTGAAATATCTTTTTGCCGAAAGTCGGGGGACCTTTTTGACATTTTTCTCATTTGCATTTTTTATTTTTTCTAGTCCTAAAGCTGTATTGATTTTGATTTGTATGTAAATTGGTAGGGAACTACTGGACGATACAGACTCCAGAGTTGCATTTTGTTCGGCATCATTCCTTCTGAAGGTATGTCATAATTCTTTCGACAGTGAATCAATAATAATTTACAACTCGGTACTTTATGTTTGATTTTTGCTTTACAGAGAATGATGACTGAAGAGCCTGAAAATTACCAGCGCATGCTTCAGTCTCTCATAATCAAGGCGCAGCAAGTTAGTATTCCTCGAGCTTGTTGCATTTAATTCATGGGGGAATTATATACATGGCACGCATTTCTTTTGTATTTACATATCTCACACCTAAACTCTTATATTTACACACATAGCACTCAAATCTTTGATATCACATATAAAATAACATTATTATCACGTTTTAAAAGTGAAATATATTTTTTCATGCATAGATTTAAAGCATTGAAATACTATCTAAATATGAAAGTTTACATTCGAGATATGTTAATACATAAGATTTATGTGCTATTGTATGTAAATGCCCCTAAATTCATTTTTACTCTTTTGGCATGGGATGCTTTAAATTATGAACATATTATGCTTGTTTCTACCATCCAGTGCAACAATGAAAAACTGTTGGAGAACCCTTACCTCCAAATGCGTGGCATCCTCCAGCTAGGGAATGAACCTGCAGGGTAGATCTGACTTTGTTACAGAGAAAAGCTTTGTTTAAGTAGCCAAAATTCAAGGCCGGCTTCCCGCTATTTATTTGACGACGAATGCCGTTGCCCGATTGTTTATGAGAGCAGTGTGTCTATTGAGTGTCATGGCGAACGGCAGAGTAGAGTTCATAACCGGTAAAACTTCCTACTTAATTTTTCAAAAAGAATGATTTTGATTGATATGAAAAGCACACACCCTTGCTATTTATTTTACGAGTGTAAGAACTAGAGTCATATAAGAGCTCATAATTTTATGCGAGAATATGATGATTTTATTTCACATAATGTTACAAAAGCATATTATCAGCATAACTTTACGAAGCAATGCTCCCTAGTCACTTTGTTTGAGCTTATTATATCCCATAGATATGCACATCTCCGCCTAAAAATATCACGGAGCATTTAGATTCATACCCCCAAGCTCTTAATACTTTATTCTTACATTTGTACAAAACAAATTTTTTATACCACATTAAAAATATCACTATTTTAAATTTTAAGAAGTGAGATGCAACTTCTCATGCATAGGCAAAGTGTCACATGTGTAAATATTGAAGTTTAGGTGTTATGTATGTAAATACATAGGAATTTAGTGTCTCAGTGATATGTATGTAAATCCTCTAATATCTTCAAAGTATGATATAAGAAGGCTTGCTAGTTTTGGCTGAACCAAACCATATTGACAGTGTCCAAATGCTATAGTTAGGAGCATCATTGCATTAACATCTGCATCGAGCCAAATATTTTCAGATCTGGAGCAAAGTTCCATACTCGATTTCTCTTTATCCAATTCTTTTTATTTTTAATCTTTTTTGCAGGTATAATATAGATTTGTAAATTAGTAATTGGCTGGACAAATGCTGCGCAGCACAAGTACAGCAATGTATAGTTGGACGTGTTAGTAATTTTATTCGTTGATTTGTTTGATTGTTTTCTCCCGCCCGTTGCAATCCGAAGAAAAGGATGATTTTTTTTATGTAATATATTTATTTTTCAGGTATTAAATCATCATTTTGAGCAACTTAAATTTAGTTATAATCGTTATATAGCCGTTATGAATCCCAATTCTTTTCATTTACAGGTTAGTCATAGTCTTCCGCACTGCCTCAGTTTTGTAGTCGTGATGAGGATAACAAACCAAGGTTCAGCTGAGTCTTTTTTTTTTTTTTTTTTTTTTTTTTTGGGTGGTTTCAAATAAATTTTGTATAGGGGGGGGTGGAAAAAACCCCCCCACGAAGTGGTGAGGCAACAAATAACTAGATTGTGTATTTCCTGTTTTTTTTTTTTAATATATTTATTATTGAATTTATTTATTTGTTTTTATTTATAATTTGGTGAACTATGAGCTTGAAATTTTTTTTGTTAATATTTATTGTTTATGTCTGTAGAATTTCATGATTAATATTAGAATTTGTGTTTATTCGTTATCTGAAGAATTTGTGTTTATTACCTGTGATGTCATATGTGGCTTAATTAGAAAAAGGGTCATTTTCATATATATCAAATAATTCGCATTTATTTACATATCAACACATGAATATTCATATTTACATGCACGCCTCTCAAATGTTTTAACTTCACTCGAAAATATCACAAGTAATGAAAGTGAAATACACCTTTTGATGCATAGGTTTATGGTGCGCAAACACTTTGGATGTAGATACGTAAATATATAATAATTGTGCATAGAAAAATATAAAGAAAATGGGGAAATTTGTTGTAAATGTCTATGTGATAGATATGCAAATGCATGGGTAATTTGGGCGGCATGTAAATGTTCCTTTATTATTTATTCCGTAAGAGTGCTAATTGTATAATTGCTTTATATATGATTTGTTAAATATTGCAATTAAAGATTATAAATGGAAAGTGAAACAAATTAATTTTGTTTCTCATTGGTGAAAGAGTTTAAAGTTTTATCCTGGAAATAATTTTTTTAATTAGCATTTTATAAATATGATGACTTTTAATTCGTTTGTTACAGCTTTTAACTTAGATGTATCTGATGAATTCCAATCTTTTCCATCTCTCTATTTTCATTGTATTAGTTTTAACTTTATGTTGATTAATTTAAGAGTAAAGTGTCAAAAGGGTTCTTGATATTTTAGTTCTAATAGCTTTTCATGAAGCTATTTCAGCATCAATTTATAAAAAAATATGAGGATTATTAATAATCTAATGTAAATGGCCAGGGTGATTATTTTGACACCTTACTCATTAATTTAACTTGATAGTAGGTATTGGGAGTCCCATCTAAAATTCATAAAATTTGAATTAATTTTGACAAAGTATTTTACTAAAATTAAATCATTGTAATAATTGGTATTTAAATTTTATTTATTTATTTTTTTCATAACTTGACATAAATTTATAAAATTTATTGTCAGAAGTAATTTGAATCAAAATCAGAACTGAATCTTGAAATTAAAAAAGTTGTAGAAATTAAAATTTAACAAAATACATTATAATTTAAGAAGAGTTATATAAACCATGTAAAATTGCCACTGATATCATAAAGTGTTCCCTAATTTTCATTTTTCAAACAAAGTTGCATAAAATGATGTTCTGTGCTTATTAGGGAGATTATTTACAATTTACTAAAAGCCATGAAGTGGAGATCAACCTCCATCATCCTCAGCCTCCCACAATCCAATTGCTCGAACAACATAGGCTGCGCAAGCAATGATGGTGGCAGCGAAGATTGGTGGCACGAGAAAGTCAATGCTGGTGTGGCCAAAAAGCTTGGTCGGGATACAGATGATTTCGCCGGGCGGCGCATCCAGTAGGAGTCGAACTGCTGCACCGCCGCACTCGCCGACGAAGGGGGACGAGGTGATAGTCCACACGAAGGCAACCTCCGGTGCAACAGAGGCGGGCGCCCGCAGCGACGAGAATTGACCATGTGGCCGCATAGACTAGCAAGGGGTGATGGTGTAGGAGGGTTTTGCAGAGCACAGTGATGAGGGAAAGGAAGAAGAAAGCCATGGCTTCGATGGGCTACTTGGGATTTGGTTGACATTATATATAGGTATGTAGTTAGATTGGGATTTATTTAATATTAGAGAAATGGGACTGATTATTAAGTTAATCAGTGTTGATTTGGTGAGCAGTGGCACCAAGGAAGATGATTAGGTGGATCTGACGAAGGTCGTCCGCTTGGATGATGACGATCAACACTTCTAGTCAACCTTTCTTATGATTGTATTTTAATTTCTATTTTTCATGGATAGTTTAGGCAGTGCAATTTTGAGGAAATATATTATATTATCGGGACACTTAAATACATGCACACAATTTATGTGTATTTACAATGAAGATAATGATTTTCTACAAGCACACTTGTGATATAGTGGTTAGGATGTAATTTGCAACTGTAAAGTTGTGGGTTTAAATAACGTTTATTATCCTTTGAGCCCAACTTTCCCCAAAAAAAAATGATTATCTAATGAAGTTGTTCAATGATGGCTAAACGAGGCACTTCAAGTTCGACAAACAATTTTAGAACCCAATATACATCCCCATGCATCCTCTTTAGCAATAAAGAGAGAATTAAAACAAATAGCAGAACATAATATAAAAATCATTATACTTCAAATCCATGCAGATTCTAACGAATGAAAGTGATTCCCTATACATAAATTGCTTTAATTCAACAAAATCAAGTTTTTGCAAGTTTTTAACGACACAAATACAAATTGTATCATTTACAGTTTTTAATAGTAGTAGCTCTAGTGACAGAAGTGTAACTTTGGGTGATCAAATTATTAAAAGGTGAAGAGATTATTAAAAGGTGAAGGATTTAGATATCTCGGGTATGTTGTTCAAAGCGATGGTGATATCGATGAGAATGTTAATAGTTGAATTCAAGTTAGTTGGTTGAAATGGAGGAATGCTTCGAGCCTTTTGTGTGATAGAAAAGTAAAATTTAACGCTTAGGCTACAACAACAACAACAACAACAACAAAGCCTTAATCCCACTAAAAGAACGCTTAGACTGAAAGGAAAATTTTATAAGAAGGTGGTGAAACCTGCAATGCTCTATGGTGCTGAATGTTGGCCTTTAAAAGAGAAGCATGATACTAAGTTAAGTGTTGTCGAAATGAGAATGATTAGATCGATGAGTGACTTTACACTTAAGAGACAATGCGAAATGAATATATTCGTGATAGGGTTGGTGTAGCTCCTGATGATCCGATTAGGAAAGTAGATGTTTTAGATTCGACTTATGTTAAGAAAGGCGGAGGCAGATCAAGGAAGACTTGGGCTTATTGTATAAAAAATGATCTTAATTTATTAGAACTAAATCAAAATATGACACTAAATAAGCGCAATGGAGAAAAAGGATTCATGTAGCCGACCCCAGTTAGTGGGATTAAGGCTTTGTTGTTGTTGTTGTTGCTGACCAAAAAAATGTATCATTTGCATCGAAGTATCACGCTACATTTCATCGGACCAATCATTTTGTTAAAAAAACTACCCCAAAAGGAACCTCAAAATAATATAGAAAAAAGCTAAACTGTGGCTATTAATATAACCAAATATGAGTTGCTCTTTAGTTTAAAAGATATGTCCTGCATTATAACCAAACATGAGTTACAAGTGAAAATCAAACAGTTTAGCAGCCCAATACAGTATCAACTTATTTGTAAAAGCAGTCCACATCAATAAATATAAAAGTATTCACCAAAATTGCCAATAGTAACACCCAATCAAAAAAAGGCCACTACAAAATTGCCTTGGGAGTGTTTGATTTGCTGAAAAAAGAAATACAGTTAAAAAAAATAAACTGAAGCTAAAAATATAGTGTAATTGAAATTCATTTGATATTGTTTGTTTAGTGTTAAAATAAATGCAATAAATATATTTTTTGTTTGGTTTGAAGAAAGAATGAAATCAACGTAAAATATGCTCGGTGTTAGCGGTGGCAAACCGGTGGTTGCAACGGCTGCAGCGAGCAACTGGGGCCTACCACTGGGAGCGGCGATGGCAGACGGCTGACAATGCCGACTGCAAGCAGGAGTAGGCAGTCAGTGGCAACAACTAGTTCAGCTCAAAGAGTATTATCTAACATTCATAATACACCCGGTCTTGAACTGCATGATTACTTCTACATTTATCAAAATTTTAACACTGCATTCCATTGCCATCCAATCAAAATTCAAAATTTTAAAAACTCCTGCATTTTATTTACTTCACACCATTAATGCAAGGAAGCCAAACAGCCCCTTAGCATATTCAAAATAAATTTCCTTCTTAAACACGACTTAATAATTTGAATGATGACAATCAAAAAAATAAACAGCCACAAAGTGACTGATGTTCCTCTCTAAAACTTCAGCTAAGATTAAGTCAAGTACATGCAGCAAGCCAATGAGAAGGAAAGTCTAACACTAACCTAAGTTGAACTATAACCACCCACAGCTACTAAAATTTTGAAGATCTAAGTATTGATAATGTTTACATTTCCAGTAACAATAATAATTATTCCAAAAGTCATGTTGTCCATTGAAATGCGAACATTTTCCCCAAAATAAAGAGTTCAACCCGATGGGTTCCATTGATTGTTGGTAAGCAAGTTGAGATTTATTGTTTGGGTTTACCATTTGACATGTTGAGTAGTTCACAAACATCAATTCAAATTAGAAGTCTACAAATATTAGAATATTATAATTATATTTGTGCGCACATCTGCAAACATGTGCCATCATGTATACACAAACATAATCAAGCTATATTAACCCAAACATAATCGAAAATATACCAATATGCATGTTTTGTTCGCTCAGCAAATAAGTTTATAGAACAAGCAAAGCTCATTATTGAACCAAGCAAAGGCCAAGCATGAACATCAAGCTAGACTGACAGCCCTAATATCAAATGTCTGGCTTTATATGCCAAATAACTAAAGTGTCAAGGTACATAATCAAGCTATATTAAGCCAAACATAATCGAACATATACCAATATGCATGTTTTGATCGCTCAGCAAATAAGTTTATAGAACAAGCAAAGCTCATTATTGAACCAAGCAAAGGCCGTGCATGAACATCAAGCTAGACTGACAGCCCTAATATCAAATGTCTGGCTTTATATGCCAAATAACTAAAGTGTCAAGGTACATAATCAAGCTATATTAAGCCAAACATAATCGAACATATACCAATATGCATGTTTTGATCGCTCAGCAAATAAGTTTATAGAACAAGCAAAGCTCATTATTGAACCAAGCAAAGGCCGTGCATGAACATCAAGCTAGACTGACAGCCCTAATATCAAATGTCTGGCTTTATATGCCAAATAACTAAAGTGTCAAGGTACATAATCAAGCTATATTAAGCCAAACATAATCGAACATATACCAATATGCATGTTTTGATCGCTCAGCAAATAAGTTTATAGAACAAGCAAAGCTCATTATTGAACCAAGCAAAGGCCGTGCATGAACATCAAGCTAGACTGACAGCCCTAATATCAAATGTCTGGCTTTATATGCCAAATAACTAAAGTGTCAAGGTACATAATCAAGCTATATTAAGCCAAACATAATCGAACATATACCAATATGCATGTTTTGATCGCTCAGCAAATAAGTTTATAGAACAAGCAAAGCTCATTATTGAACCAAGCAAAGGCCGTGCATGAACATCAAGCTAGACTGACAGCCCTAATATCAAATGTCTGGCTTTATATGCCAAATAACTAAAGTGTCAAGGTACATAATCAAGCTATATTAAGCCAAACATAATCGAACATATACCAATATGCATGTTTTGATCGCTCAGCAAATAAGTTTATAGAACAAGCAAAGCTCATTATTGAACCAAGCAAAGGCCGTGCATGAACATCAAGCTAGACTGACAGCCCTAATATCAAATGTCTGGCTTTATATGCCAAATAACTAAAGTGTCAAGGTACATAATCAAGCTATATTAAGCCAAACATAATCGAACATATACCAATATGCATGTTTTGATCGCTCAGCAAATAAGTTTATAGAACAAGCAAAGCTCATTATTGAACCAAGCAAAGGCCGTGCATGAACATCAAGCTAGACTGACAGCCCTAATATCAAATGTCTGGCTTTATATGCCAAATAACTAAAGTGTCAAGGTACATAATCAAGCTATATTAAGCCAAACATAATCGAACATATACCAATATGCATGTTTTGATCGCTCAGCAAATAAGTTTATAGAACAAGCAAAGCTCATTATTGAACCAAGCAAAGGCCGTGCATGAACATCAAGCTAGACTGACAGCCCTAATATCAAATGTCTGGCTTTATATGCCAAATAACTAAAGTGTCAAGGTACATAATCAAGCTATATTAAGCCAAACATAATCGAACATATACCAATATGCATGTTTTGATCGCTCAGCAAATAAGTTTATAGAACAAGCAAAGCTCATTATTGAACCAAGCAAAGGCCGTGCATGAACATCAAGCTAGACTGACAGCCCTAATATCAAATGTCTGGCTTTATATGCCAAATAACTAAAGTGTCAAGGTACATAATCAAGCTATATTAAGCCAAACATAATCGAACATATACCAATATGCATGTTTTGATCGCTCAGCAAATAAGTTTATAGAACAAGCAAAGCTCATTATTGAACCAAGCAAAGGCCGTGCATGAACATCAAGCTAGACTGACAGCCCTAATATCAAATGTCTGGCTTTATATGCCAAATAACTAAAGTGTCAAGGTACATAATCAAGCTATATTAAGCCAAACATAATCGAACATATACCAATATGCATGTTTTGATCGCTCAGCAAATAAGTTTATAGAACAAGCAAAGCTCATTATTGAACCAAGCAAAGGCCGTGCATGAACATCAAGCTAGACTGACAGCCCTAATATCAAATGTCTGGCTTTATATGCCAAATAACTAAAGTGTCAAGGTACATAATCAAGCTATATTAAGCCAAACATAATCGAACATATACCAATATGCATGTTTTGATCGCTCAGCAAATAAGTTTATAGAACAAGCAAAGCTCATTATTGAACCAAGCAAAGGCCGTGCATGAACATCAAGCTAGACTGACAGCCCTAATATCAAATGTCTGGCTTTATATGCCAAATAACTAAAGTGTCAAGGTACATAATCAAGCTATATTAAGCCAAACATAATCGAACATATACCAATATGCATGTTTTGATCGCTCAGCAAATAAGTTTATAGAACAAGCAAAGCTCATTATTGAACCAAGCAAAGGCCGTGCATGAACATCAAGCTAGACTGACAGCCCTAATATCAAATGTCTGGCTTTATATGCCAAATAACTAAAGTGTCAAGGTACATAATCAAGCTATATTAAGCCAAACATAATCGAACATATACCAATATGCATGTTTTGATCGCTCAGCAAATAAGTTTATAGAACAAGCAAAGCTCATTATTGAACCAAGCAAAGGCCGTGCATGAACATCAAGCTAGACTGACAGCCCTAATATCAAATGTCTGGCTTTATATGCCAAATAACTAAAGTGTCAAGGTACATAATCAAGCTATATTAAGCCAAACATAATCGAACATATACCAATATGCATGTTTTGATCGCTCAGCAAATAAGTTTATAGAACAAGCAAAGCTCATTATTGAACCAAGCAAAGGCCGTGCATGAACATCAAGCTAGACTGACAGCCCTAATATCAAATGTCTGGCTTTATATGCCAAATAACTAAAGTGTCAAGGTACATAATCAAGCTATATTAAGCCAAACATAATCGAACATATACCAATATGCATGTTTTGATCGCTCAGCAAATAAGTTTATAGAACAAGCAAAGCTCATTATTGAACCAAGCAAAGGCCGTGCATGAACATCAAGCTAGACTGACAGCCCTAATATCAAATGTCTGGCTTTATATGCCAAATAACTAAAGTGTCAAGGTACATAATCAAGCTATATTAAGCCAAACATAATCGAACATATACCAATATGCATGTTTTGATCGCTCAGCAAATAAGTTTATAGAACAAGCAAAGCTCATTATTGAACCAAGCAAAGGCCGTGCATGAACATCAAGCTAGACTGACAGCCCTAATATCAAATGTCTGGCTTTATATGCCAAATAACTAAAGTGTCAAGGTACATAATCAAGCTATATTAAGCCAAACATAATCGAACATATACCAATATGCATGTTTTGATCGCTCAGCAAATAAGTTTATAGAACAAGCAAAGCTCATTATTGAACCAAGCAAAGGCCGTGCATGAACATCAAGCTAGACTGACAGCCCTAATATCAAATGTCTGGCTTTATATGCCAAATAACTAAAGTGTCAAGGTACATAATCAAGCTATATTAAGCCAAACATAATCGAACATATACCAATATGCATGTTTTGATCGCTCAGCAAATAAGTTTATAGAACAAGCAAAGCTCATTATTGAACCAAGCAAAGGCCGTGCATGAACATCAAGCTAGACTGACAGCCCTAATATCAAATGTCTGGCTTTATATGCCAAATAACTAAAGTGTCAAGGTACATAATCAAGCTATATTAAGCCAAACATAATCGAACATATACCAATATGCATGTTTTGATCGCTCAGCAAATAAGTTTATAGAACAAGCAAAGCTCATTATTGAACCAAGCAAAGGCCGTGCATGAACATCAAGCTAGACTGACAGCCCTAATATCAAATGTCTGGCTTTATATGCCAAATAACTAAAGTGTCAAGGTACATAATCAAGCTATATTAAGCCAAACATAATCGAACATATACCAATATGCATGTTTTGATCGCTCAGCAAATAAGTTTATAGAACAAGCAAAGCTCATTATTGAACCAAGCAAAGGCCGTGCATGAACATCAAGCTAGACTGACAGCCCTAATATCAAATGTCTGGCTTTATATGCCAAATAACTAAAGTGTCAAGGTACATAATCAAGCTATATTAAGCCAAACATAATCGAACATATACCAATATGCATGTTTTGATCGCTCAGCAAATAAGTTTATAGAACAAGCAAAGCTCATTATTGAACCAAGCAAAGGCCGTGCATGAACATCAAGCTAGACTGACAGCCCTAATATCAAATGTCTGGCTTTATATGCCAAATAACTAAAGTGTCAAGGTACATAATCAAGCTATATTAAGCCAAACATAATCGAACATATACCAATATGCATGTTTTGATCGCTCAGCAAATAAGTTTATAGAACAAGCAAAGCTCATTATTGAACCAAGCAAAGGCCGTGCATGAACATCAAGCTAGACTGACAGCCCTAATATCAAATGTCTGGCTTTATATGCCAAATAACTAAAGTGTCAAGGTACATAATCAAGCTATATTAAGCCAAACATAATCGAACTTCTTCGACTTAAGTTGCCGACAATTATTAATTTTCACCATCTGTAGCATTGAACTCACAGGCGGATCGTAAACATCCGTCGCCCATTTTACACGCAGATCCGATCTCAAATCTATCCCATGCCGTGCTCGGCCTCCTTTCATGGCAGAGATAAAGTTGAAAGATGGCTACAGAGCACGGTGAGTTAAACATAATTAAAACAAAATTCACATTTCATAACCAAAATTCTTCTATGATTAAACAAATTATTAGAACAAAAATAATCAGTGCCTAAAAATATGTATTATGTTACAATAATTTTGTAAGAAATCTAAAGTTTAAATTCCAACTTTAGATGTAAAGAATCGTGTTTTATTGGAAGTGCTTGAAAGTTTAATGAAACTCACTGCACCAATGTTGAATGAAACAGCATGAAGAACTCATAATATATATCTGCTATTTTGCAATCGTGTTTTATTGGAAGTGCTTGAAAGTTTAATAAAACTCACTGCACGAATGTTGAATGAAACTGCATGAAGAACTCATAATATATATCTGCTATTTTGCATTACTTGAATTATTGAAGTAATTACTGATTTTTGCTAATGTTTAATTAAATTTTAAAAGTGTGATGTGAATTTCAGTTATTTTTTCCAGTTGATTTTTTTTTAAAAAAAATTGTTTTGATTTTATGTTGAATCTCTCTTATTGATTGATTGTTAATTTATCATTCAACAGTGTTCGAATGCATGATGATCTATATATGCTAAAAAAAAAAAATAATCTCATTGGTATACAAGTTCATCAGTCAAGTTATATTTCTGGTCATATTTTTTGAGAATCCAAGTTAGTTTTTAAAATTAAAAATTCAGAAGGAAACAAATTTGATGATCGAAAACTTCGTGTTTATACTGGAAGAAAAAGAACCAAATCCTACCACTCAACCAGCTCTACTTGAAGAACCAAACTCTGTCACCGAAACTGCCCAATTATCTCTACTTCATCTCAACTTGACACTAGTGATCGGGAACTTCGTGTCTATACTGGAAGAAAAAGAACCACTGAGCATATAAAGGACACCATGCATTATTGGAACTGTCAAAAACATGAACCATGCCCTCCCACATCTGATAATCATAATGGTATAGATTCCTTATCTCATGATTGAAGCCGCATTGATTATCCAATTGAAAGGTATATAACTTACGAAAAGTTGTTACCATCTTACATGATTTTTGTGACAAATCGTGATAATGTGCAAGTTTTCAACTCTATACAAGAGACTCTAAATGTTCTAGCATAGAAACAAACACATGAAGAAATTCGGGCTCTAGAAAATAATAACACGTGACACAGACAGAGTTGCCTCATGAAAAAATTCTTGTACGTTGAAAGTGGATTTTTACCGCTTAAATACAAAGGAAAAGAAAGTGCACGGAGATTCAAAGCCAGATTGATAGCCAATGGCTTTACACAATCATATGGGATTGAATATCAGGAAAACTTTGCCCCCTTTGCCAAGTTCAACATTGTTTGAGTTCTATTCTCTTGTGCAATAAATCGAGATTGGCCTTTATATCAATTGAGCGTCAAAAATGTCTTCTTGAATAGGGACCTTAATGAAGAAATTTGCATAACTATGCCTCCAAGTTTGAAAAAAAGGTCAAAGAACAAGTTGGTTTGCAATTTGCAGAAGTCCTTATACGGCTTTAAGCAATCTATTCGTACTTGGTTTGACAAGTTTGTTGAGATTGTGATTACCAAAAGATATCATAGTGTCAAGCTGATCATAAAATGTTTGTTAAATTCAATACTAGAGGTAAAATTGATATTCTCATAGGATATGTAGATATTATCTTAATAAGTAATAATTTAAAGAAAACTATCAGACTAAAAATGATACTTGTGAAAGAATTTGAGATCAAGGACATCAGGAATCTTCGATATTCTAGAAATGGAAGTGGGTCAGTCTAAAAAGGGAATTGTTATATCACAAAGAAAATATATCTCATACATGTTAAGTTAAACTGACGTACTTAGGTGTAAACTCGTTGATGCATCTATGGACTCTAACAAAAGATTGAACATAAGTGAAGAAAGTAGTCCAATTGAAAAAAGAAGATATCAAAGACTGGGGCAAACTACTTTATTTATCACACACAAAACTTGATATTGCATACTCAGGCAATGTAGTAAGTCAGTATATAAATAATCCAAATGATGCTCATTTGGAAGCAGTGAAAAGAATCCTAAAATATTTAAAGATGACTCCTGTATATGATTTGTTCTTCAACAGGTTTAAAAACCATAATATTGAGATATAAACATATGCTAGTTGGGTAGGAGAGAGAATTGATAGGAAATCTGCTATTTGATATTGTTCATACGTTTAGGTCAATCTCTTCACATTGAAAAGTAAAAAAGCAAACTTTTGTCTCTCGAAGTAGTGTTGAATCGAATATCAAGCCCTTGCACTGAGAATATGTGAGAAAATATGGATTCAAAGGTTATTAAGGGAACAAAAGTTGAGATGAAAGACACTATTAAGATGTTCAACGATAGCCAAACAACTAATAGTATAACCAAAAATCTTGTGTAGCATGGCTGAACAAAACACTGACTGATACTTCATATCAAAAAAGGTAAGCGATGAAATTGTTAAACTCAACTATGTTCTACACGACTTCAGACAGTCGATGTTCTCACCAAAGCACTATCAAGAGTCAATCATGATGAGTTGAAACCCAAACTTGATTTGTACAATATATACATACCACCTTGAGGGGAAATATTGGAAAGTGTCAATCCGCATTAGTAAGGAATTTATTTCCTTTTTTCAGAATATATTTCACTAATTGTGTTTCGTTTATTAGATATTTCCTTTTTCTTTTTCTTATTTTGGAGGGATTCCCATTTGGGGTCCTTTCATTATTATATGTATGTAGTATAGGGTAATGCATAAAGTGAGCTCGAAAAAAAATTCTTTTAAGAAACACTACACACAATGACATTCTTATCATTCAATATCATGAACATGGAAGCAATGAGATGCACCATACTATTAGCACGTAACAATTAGTTACAATTTAGTCAACATTTTCATGAGCTAGAGAAACAAAATAAAAATGTTAACACCATAAGCAATTAATGGCAATGTTTAATAATTAGATAGATAAAACACTCCAAAAAAAAGTCTTCTATGAGATAATATATTCAGCTTAAAGTGTAAGAAAAAACTTTTCAAGATCAACATAATTACAACAACGTGAAGGTTCTATCTGCATACAACATGGACAGAAAATTACAAAATCTTTAAGGAAGATTTACTTACATACTGCTCAATTCCCATGAATTTACATGTCTAACACTTACAATTCAATTTTTACATACATACCACCTTATCGATGATTGAGAAGGTGTATTTTAATTTTTAAAAGTTAAAATGGTGGTATTTTTTAGGTGATATGAAAGATTTGAGTAGTATAAATGTTAAAAGCAAAATTTAGGTGTTAGATATGTAAATTGGTGGTACAATTCATTGGAAATACAATCTATGATGACCAGAAAATTAATTGTAAGAATAAGCTACTATTCCAAAAAAATACTGCCATCAAACAAATAAAAAGTGAGGCCATTATCATAATAGAAAACAGCAAAACTGAACCAAAAAATCAGCTGCTTTACATAAAAGAAACATACAGGGAGGGAGACTGAACGCTTATATGTTGGTGATGCTGCAGTCTCCTCGGTACAGAAGGAATGGTAAAACTCCAATTCAGAGGAAGGGAATGTCGCAGACTTACTCAAAAAGTTCTCCAAATTACCATCAAAAGTACCAGACGAACTCGGTTCCATATAAGCACTATTCTCCCCAGAATTAGCCTCACTATTCTCATCAGAAGCAGCATCAATGGCAGAGAACTCTACATGGAAATCTTGGAGATGGACGTCATTAGCAGGTGCTCCATCTGCCTCATCTATGAAACTGGCTTTCTTGCTTTCAGAGCAGTAATTACTATCTTCATGAATCTCTATCTCAACAGTCTCTTTAATATTCATACTGACAGATTGTTGATCTTCAGTGTTTGACTCTTTGCAGTTGGAACTAGGCAGAATTGATTCGCAGTCAATGTCTTCACACATTGAATTAGTAGAACAGGAAGCTTCCATATTCCTGCATAAGAAAAAAGATGAGGTAACAGAAATTGTATTGGGAAAAAAGTAAAAAATTCATGAATGTAGATTATAAAGAAATGAGAAAAGAAAGATGCTTGATCAATAAAGAACAGATGGAAAAGAAAAAAAGGTTACAAATCTTTACCTAAAACAGCAAACTCCACCAAAAACTCACAGATAAAAAGAACAGGCCAAACAGTAAAGTTCAGAAACAAGCCCTCAACTTCAAAACCCGATCACGAAAAAGAACGAGCTCAGGAAAACCTAAAACGAGACTACCGCATACTCTCAGCCATTATCCACTCAAATCAGTGCGCCGTTTCCAATTTTCGAGATTATTCCAGCGATGAGTATGATTCACGGGATAAAGATTTGATCATCTTCGCTCATCGGATGCGAAATCCTCCGAATTTATTCATCTGTTTTCTAGAGCCCGAATTTCTTCATCTGTTTGTTTCGATGCTAGAACATTTAGAGTCTCCTGTATTGAGTTGAAAACTTGTACATTATTATGATTTGTCACAAAAATCCTGTAAGATGGTAACAACTTTTCGTAAATTATATTTCCTTCAATTGGCTAATCAGTGCGGCTTCAATTATGAGATAAGAAATCTATACTATTCTGATTCTGATTATTAGATGTGGGAGGGCATGGTTCAAGTTTTTTTACAGTTCCAATCATGCATGATGTCCTATATATGCTCAGTGGTTCTTTTTCTTCCGGTATAGACACGAAGTTCCCGATCACTAGTGTCAAGTTGAGATGAAGTAGATATAATTGGGTAGTTTCGGTGACAGAGTTTGGTTCTTCAAGTAGAACTGGTTGAGTGGTAAGATTTGGTTCAGTTGTTTCAGTAATTGGATTTGATTCAATTTGAGCGCCTCGGAGAAGGTCCCAAATTTATTTCATTCTGAATTTCAAATTTTAAAAACTAATATGGATTCTGAAAAAATATGACCAGAAATATAACTTAACTGATGAACTTGTATACCAATGAGATTATTTTTTTTGAGCATATATAGATCATCATGCATCTGAACACTGTCAAATGATAAATTAATAATCAATCAATAAAAAAAAATCAGCATAAAATCGAAACCATTTAAAAAAAAATAACTGAAATTCACATCACACTTTTAAAATTTAATTAAACATTAGCAAAAATCAGTAATTACTTCAATAATTCAAGTAATGCAAAATAGCAGATATATATTAAGAGTTCTTCATGCAGTTTCATTCAACATTCGTGCAGGGAGTTTCATTAAACTTTCAAGCACTTTCAATAAAACACGATCCATCACATCTAAAGTTGGAATTTAAACTTTAGATTTCTTACAAAATTATAGTAACATAATACATATTTTTAGGCATTGATTATTTCTATTCTAATAATTTGTTTAATTATAGAAGAATTTTAGTTATGAAATGTGATTTTTTTTTTAATTATGTTTATCTCTTTCATGAAAGGAGGCCGAGCACGGCATGAGATAGATTTGAGGTCGGATGTGCGTGTAAAATGGGCGATGGATGTTTACGATCCGCCGACGAGTTCAATGCTACACATGGTGAAAATTAATGATCGCCGGCAACTTAAGTTGAAGAAGAAGAATAAACAAAGACACAAGCATGCTAAGGGGAAGACTTCACGTGTTAGAAGCTCTGAGAAGAAATATTCCTGAACAATTCAAAATACGGTTGGTTTATTTTTCAGAATGATTTGATCAGAGGTTAAATGCTTTAGTAATCTGTAAATCTTAAGTTCAATGATACCATCACGTCCTTTGGATCATACTTCCTTGCTTTCAGAGCAGTAATTACTATCTTCATGAATCTTTATCTCAGCAGTATCTGTAATATTCATACTGACAGATTGTTGATCTTTAGTGTTTGACTCTTCGCAGTTGGAAATAGTCAGAATTGATTTGCAGTCAATGTCTTCCCACATTGAATTAGTAGAACAGGAAGCTTCCATAGTTTTGCATAAGAAAAAATGATGAGGTAACAGAAATTGTATTGGGAAAAAAGTAAAAAATTCATGAATGTAGATTATAAAGAAATGAGAAAAGAAAGATGCTTGATCAATAAAGAACAGATGGAAAAGAAAAAAAGGTTACAAATCTTTACCTAAAACAGCAAACTCCACCAAAAACTCACAGATAAAAAGAACAGGCCAAACAGTCAAGCTCAGAAACAAGCCCTTAATTTCAAAACCCTCCAATCCAAAATCGAATGTAGTTACGGAAATGAAACTCCGGACGACTATCAGATCGAATAAAACCAAGCCCACTCAAAAAGAAAAATCCAATCACGAAGAAGAACGAGCTCAGGAAAAACTAAAACAAGGCTACCGCCATACTCTCAGCCATTATTCACTCAAATCAGTGCCATACTCTTAGCCATTATCCACTCAAATCAGTGTGCCGTTTCCAATTTTCGAGATTATTCTAGCGATGCGTGCGATTCACCGGATAAAGATTTGATCATCTTCGATCATCGGACGCCGAATCTCCGAGCACCGAAGACATCGTCGGTTCTCCAGAAAGGAAATCATAAACTGATAATAACACGAGAAAGCTTCAGGGTTTTCAAATGGAATGGATTTGATAGAAATCGAGAGTCCGGGAAAATTTATATTTCTTTATGGCCATAGAAATCCCGATTTCATTTCATTTCATGCTTATTAGTTAATCAATATGCTGTTTAGCTTTTTGATAGGCTATTTGGAGCCTTCTTTGATGGTTACAATTTGTTCCCATTGTCATATAGATAAAACCTGATGGTTCTCTGCTTGGTGACTTGGGCTTGATTCATCACAAACCTTATGAATACCTTCTTCTTGGCTATGTCAATAAAAAGGTCAGAGTTTCAGTATTTTCTTCAGTTTTTCATGCCAAGGCTTAGATCCTTCTTTCCATTTGCCCATTTTGTTTGTGTGAGATGTTGTAGAAAATTGAACCTGATTCCAGCCAAAATTTGCGAGAGAACCAAATCCTCATCAGTATCCCTGGTGCTTACTCGCGGAAACCTCCACTGGGAAGTATCCTAATGCAACAATCACATCTGCCATTTCATTATAGTTAATGTTTGTTTTATTAACTTTTATTTTTATGAACATAAGAGTGAAGAATAGTTGCAACGAAATAAGATTTATGATTGTAATATATTAGCATAAGCTTTTGAGTTGTAGGCGTCCAATCATTAATATATTTGTTTCAACTTCTAATAATATCCTTAATTGTGAGATTCAGAAACTTATTTTTAGTCCCAATATGCTTTTTATCTTCTGCGGATCGCTTTTATTTTTTATTTTTATTACATTTTAATAGGGTCCCTTTGACATTTCCTAGTTGTTTTTTTAATTTTTTTAATTTTTTTTAATTTTTTTTAGGAATTGTGAGTCCAAATAAAATTTTTGTTTTTTTTAAATAATGTTTGATTCAAACCGGCAACCTCGCGTTAGGAGACTACGCACTCAATCGCTATGTCACAAATAACCGTGTTGAATGTCTAAATTTTCAAGTAAAAATTTTAGCAAATAATTTTAAAAATTAAAAAAAGTAAACAATTGAGCAAACTTTAAATTAATCTATCACTATTTTCAATTAAATAAGATGATTTGCAAATTTCATATATTTTTTTAAATCGTATAATATAAATAAGTATTAATAAACTAATCTATTAAAATACAAATCTAAGAAATTATTTTTAAAAACATATGTTAAATTAGTAAAGTGATGTAAAAGCAATATAAAATTTAGAGATAATTTCATAAAGGCCACCCAAAACATTGATATTTATAAATGAACGTGTCTGGTGGTTTTCTTGAACTACCGAACCCATGTATTTACGTTTGTTTCGATAAAACAATTGAGAATTCGATAAGAATGAACTATAAGGGTTTAGCTTTATCATGTGAGAAATTGAAAAATGGATGAAATAGGTGGTTTATTTGTAAATAGTAAGTTTCGGATGAGCCGTATGTAATTACCCCAAAAATTTTTGTTGGATATCTAATATCAGCAGAAGAAAGGCTACAGATTCGCCCGCCGGCAAGACGTGAAGATTTTATCAGCAGAGAAAATCAAACCGCTGCCGCTGTTGGTCGCCGCCGGTGAAGTTAACTCTTTTCTATCTACCTTCTTTAAAGCTCTTACTTTTCTGTCTATAGATATCAAAATTCACGGTAAAAAAAGATTCTTTTGATATGAATTTGAACAGCATGAACCGAAACCCAGCCGACAATCGAAGTCGTGATCTGTTGTTACCCGCATTGTTTGCTATCTGTTTGATGAAATGCCTCTAAGAGTTTTTAGCTGACTGATTCATTTATCTACGTTTACTATGCTTGGATAGCTATTTTGCTTATTTGTTTTCGTCATAGAGATGTAAACAAGAGTTCATTTGCATCAAATATCTTGTGTTTTATTTGAGGCAGTTTTGTGGTAGGAAATGCAGAGCTTGTCCCTTTCGATGGTAAATTTTTGAGTTTTTTTTCATAACTTGCATTTAAAAAGGGGGCATTTACATAGATACTACCCAATTCTTATGTATTTTCATATCCATAACCTAAAGTTTGCTCTTTTATATTTATACCACACAAATCTTCCACATCACATAAAAATTTTTGGGTTTTTACACACATAGAACTCAGTACATATCTATTTAGTTATATCAAACTTCAAACCTTTAATTTATATATTCAGCACCGCACCCAAATCATTTTTATACAAAGGAGTTCACAGCTCCGTCAAAAGACACGAGCAAATCTCTCATCCTGTAGGAGCTCTTTCTCATGTCGTCCGTCTCCATAGAAAATATTATGTATGGTGGCCGCACATGCAGACAACCAATGTGATTCGAGCAATGTACTATACAATTGTGTGCTTTTCTCTCATTGGTTGTTTGCATGTGCAGTTGTACTTTAAATTCTTAATATTATTTCTTAAATTTCCTTCGATAGGATAAAAATCATGAGATATAACACAGTTAAAATTATTCCAATTCGCTAATATAGGTTACATGATTCTACCAACCCTCGAATTATCGGAAACAATATTACATAAGTGGTGGTTATCCACATGACTTCAGCTAGGGGAGTGATGGCAACCTAACTACTATGAGAGAATTCGTGACTTTCGTTCCTTCAATTTCTTCCACTCATTGATTCCTTCACATCTTCATCTATTTATATATCACATTTCTCTTCTTCCCCTTTTAATGCATTTTTAGAAGCTGGCTACTGGCAATGAGTAACAAACTGTTTTGGTGGCCGATCACTGGCAATCACGAGCCTCACCTTTTCTTGGCTCCTTGATGGAATGAAGGAGTTCATCCACGGCAGGGTAAACCTCTACCAACCTGAAGGCTTCAGGCCTTTAACTCATGAGGGTTTGACGGAGAAGGGAACTCCGTTCTCATAGGTTCTCTTTTTTTGGCATACCAAAGATTTGAGTGTTTAATGACTAAATTAAACGTTAGGAGTGTGAGATGTGTAAATAGGAATGTTTGAAGCGCTATGCATGTAAAAACCCCTTAACATTATCACTATTTTAACTTTTGAAAAGCGAAAATGCATATGTAAGTTGGCATCCATGTAAAAATTGAAGTTTAAGATGTTAGATATGTAAATCTATAAGAATTGAGTGGCATGCATGTATATATTCCTTGAAACAAATACCTTTGGTGTTTGAAAAATCAGTTTTTTACTGCAAAAGCAAAACAAACATAAGCCGTCAACTAATTCACTCAAAAGGAAAATCAGTTTTTTACTGCAAAACAAACATAATTCATCATCAAATTGTTCTTTTAAGTTAATAAATCTGGTTGTAAATAATTAATTTTCACCACAAAAATCTATAAAAAGCAGCAAGAGAAAGGCTGTAATATAAAATTATGGTAGCTACTCTAAAAGAAACATACAACTGCCTTTAGCTTCCATATGAGCAGACAGCCCAAGGTATTGGATTGACATTGTAATCAATATTTCACTTTAGCTTTGCAGAAATAGCCCCGTAGAATAATGGCTTTGCGAGCTCAAGCTATCTCCAAAGCGATGCTCTTATCTGCAAGGAGACTATTTGCTCGGCATTCTTCTAATAAATTGTTTGTTGGAGGTTTGTGATAGTTATTCACTATTCATTATAATACAACTTATTGTGCCTAATATTAGTTTTTCGGGGGCATTTACATACATAAAACCCAAGTCCTCTGCATTTACATATCTAACACCCAAACTTTACTTCTTACATTTCTACCACACATCTTTAAAATCACATCAAAAATACTACTATAACTTTCAAAAAGTGAAATACATCTTTTCATGCACAAGTAAGCTGTCATATATGTAAAAAATGGAAGTTTAAATGTTAGATATGTAAAAACACATAGGAATTGAATGGTATATATGTAAATTTTCCTTTTAAGTTTTTTAAGTGGATATGTGTTTATTAAAATTTATTTGGCTCAATTTTGAACTTTGCTATTCTGCTCTCATAACAAAAAAAATGAGTTGATGATTCAGGGTGGGCAATTAAACCCCTGAAATTTTCAATTTCTTTATATAAATGATAAATTTTAAGTTTTTTTATGTCATTTATTAATATGAATTAATATTAATGTTATACTTTATGATTATTCATCAGTTCATAAAGCTTCTAAAGAGTGAATTCTTTCATGCTGCATTGGCTGTAATACTAATTAGTTTGAATGAAATCTTTTAAGGTCTTTCATATGACACTAATGAAACTGTTCTAAGAGATGCTTTCAGTGCTCATGGTGTAGTTACACAAGGTGGTTTGACCAAGTTATCAAATTTATATTTGTGGAATTGACATACATACCACAATTCCCGTGTATTTACATATCCAATATCTAAAGTTTACTTTTTTACATTTATACCTCCCATAAATTTCATATCATATCAAAAGTACCAGTATTTAAGCTTTAAGAAAAAGTGAAATGCACCTTTTCATTCATGTATAAGGGGGCAAATATATGTAAAAATTGAAATATAGCTGTTAGATATGTAAATACATAAGAATTGAGTGGTATTTATGGTAATCTTCCTTTGATTTATGTGATCTCTCACTGACTGAAGGTGTATTTATGCAGTTAAAGTAATATGTGACAGGAGAAGTGGAAAATCTGAAGGTTTTGGATTTGTGCAGTTCTCTCAAGAAATTGAAGCTGCCACAGCTCTGCAAAAGATGGATAAACAGGTAGGAGCTTCTATATTTAGGGACATTTACATAAATACCATTAATTCCTAAGTATTCACATATCTTACAAACTTCTCTTTTTATATTTATACCACACAAATCTTTCAATTCACATCAAAAAAAAGAAAAAAAAAACCACTATTTTAACTTTAAACTGTGAAATACACATTTTCATACATAGATAAAGGGTGGGTCATTTATGTAATAGTTGAACTTTAGGTGTTAGATATGTAAATACATAGGTGGTATTTATGTAAAATCTTCATTATATTTAGTAGATCGATTTTGTTCTATACTTTTTTATTATATTCTTTTTATTTCATGGATCCCAATTTATTTATTTATTTTCAGTTGCTTGATGGAAGAAACATTCGTGTGCAGTATGCAAACAAGTAAATTTGATGAATAAATAAGACTTCGAAGAAACACCCTTCTGTTCATGGCAAAATGCGAATATTGGGATCAGTTTTCTCTTGAGAAATTTATAGACCTAACACACAATTCGTATGTATTTATGGATCCCAAACCCAGACGTTCGTATTTACATATATAGCATTTATGTGCATGAAAAGATACATTTTACTCTAATAATATTATTATTTTTATATAATATTAAAGATTTGAATGTTTTGTTTGCAAATCTAAGAAGTTTAGATGTGAGATATATATACACATAAAAATTGTTCGCGATGCATGTTGAGCAGACTGTAAAAAAAAGTTTTTTCATCAACAGCTCATGTCTAGCTCGTTAAGTAGCTTTGTGTTTGTATCACGAGCTGAATATGAACAATTTTTTTTAGCTAGAATTACAAAAAACCATTTGTTCTATCATAAATCAATATATATATATATAACAC